TTTCTATATTCTATACTGTTGAACCACAATCAAGAATAGTAACAAAGAAACAAGAAAATAACTACAACCGTCTTTGACAGCAATAGATTTTAACGTATACTTATATATATATATAGACTGACGAAAAAGGATACAGATGGAAAACGTATGAAAGTGAGCACCAGTTTAACAATCAAACAAGATATGTATATATATGTATATATATACTGTACAGTTGTTGAAGGAAAAAGACGAAAGAAAAATATGATGTTAATAATGCACCGGTGAAAAGAACAGTATAAAAAAATAATAAATGACACCATAACAAGAAAAATCACCGAAAGTCTTTTTTTTTTATTAAACCACTAATCTATAAATTTACAAAGAAGATAAAAAGAAAAAAAACATATGTTATGCTTCAGCTTCTTTTAACGCATTGGCTTCTGAATCAACTTGATTTAATATAACTTTTTTTGTTTGTACAGTTGTTACTTCAGTTGTTGACAATGGTACACTCGTATTTGTTGAAAATAAAGCAACCACTATTTCATATGTACTCATCATAATAGCTGTATTCTGTAAATAATTTACATAAATAAATAATTGAAAAAAGCGAAAAAATATTCAATCTTACAGGAATTTGTCGTATAAGATGTGTTAATAAACCTCGATAAAGACCCCAAAGACTTTCTTCATGTATAACTGTTCGTATTGTTTGAATAAGTGTTCGATATTTAGTACCTTCTTCTCTTAAACGTGTTCGAATAACTTCATGAGGATAACATAATGTACTTGCACAGGATTTTGAACAAGCAGCAGCACCCAAATATGAAAAAAAGTTAAATAAATCTGGATCATCGGGTGAATGATTTTGACTTGCTTGAAGTAATTGTAATTGAGCTTTTATTTGTTCATAAATAACAAAATGAACTATTGTCTCCGATACACCAACATATGATGCAGATATGCCTGTATTTTGTTTTTATTTATAAGAAAAAATTCAATGTTTGTTTAGCTTCAATTAGGATAATACCTTTATAGAAGCCTCGAAAACCACTTTGACGATAAATATTTCGAACAACATCCATAGCACGAAGATTTCTCAAAGATTAAAAATACAATTAGTTTATCGTATTTTATTCTTATTTATACTCTGCTTAACTAACTTTAACAAGTAAGTAATCAAATTCCTTTTTTTTCCAGAAATTCTCTTATGCTTATCGAATATTATATACGAATATATATGACATGCAAAAAAAAAGTAATGTATGATTTGATGAAAAAAAAACAACAATCAACCTTCTATTAACTTCCTTTACTTATAAGTCAACATTTTTTTAATAACTAAAGAGAAATATCTAAGATTTTCTCTCAGAATAAACACTATAAAACTTGAATATGTTTGTCTCAATCTTACATCTTATGTCATTAGACTCTGTCATATATATGAAATTAAAGGAGCTTTATCTGTTGACATATATCTTTTGACACATGTGTATGAAGATTCATTTAAAAATTCAAAAGAAAATTTTTTTTTTTTTTTTGTATAGATTTAGTAACCTGTAGTAGTTCGAATAATATTTTTTTATTTTTAAATCATAAAAACAATCCTTAATACTTACCCTTGATCAAGTTGAAGTCGAGTTTTAACAAACCATAACGGATTGGTACATGTAGACATAGCAATACCTTTAAGATAAAAACAAAATTTTCTTTGAAATTCAAGACTTGACAAATAGTTAAGATTTTAGATTGAAAAAATCAGTTCATTAGATCTATGATATGAAAAAATTCGCATTAAAAATCGGCTTCATTATGCATTCTGACATTGATAGATCCATATGATAAAAATAGAACCGCAAGAAAAAAAATGTGGCAAATATGATGTCATCGATCAGAACGGTCACAAGACATTCTATTGATATTGTCACGTGAAGAGATTTGTTAAATATTTACTTAAATTCAATCTCTCTTTTTTCTTTTTTGGACTTCGATCTGATCTAGTATCTACTCCGAATTTGAACTAATTCAAAGATTGATTTATTACCATTGTTCATCGAGTTCAACTCTTTATTTTTTTTTTTTGCTTACAAAATTTGAGATCTTGCTAAATGCTATTCGTTTTTTTTTCTAAAACATCAAGTTATACTATTTGGTAAATCTTAGAAATATCGTTGTCATTATTGAATGTTAAGGACAAAAGTAGCTTTTCGTTGAAGAACTTCTACCTGCAGTAGCTGCTGATGTAACATGTACCAATGGTGTTTCTCGTTCCATTTCTTCGACTAGAAATGATTTAGTATTAGCATAAGCAAAAAAATAAATTGCCCTATAAATATTAATATAGCTTATAATAAACATAATGATTTTAGTGCATACCGAGATGGTGCTACACCAATTAAATTTGGTACTAAACCTTTGAAAAGTCCTGGAATACCTTCATATTTTAGAATATATCTTTAAGAAAAATTATGAATTTCAAATATAAAAAGAAAATCTTTAAAAGTAAAAATTCATACCGAAATGAAGCTATGATACTCGGTCGTTTATTTGATGATGCTATTGAACGACGAATATTATAGGTCACTGTATTACTCATAGATGAATGTAAATTAAGATGATTGTACTCTTTTGAAACGGAATTTTTCGATGATTGATAACGCGTTTTGATTACTTCTAGTGGGCATGTTAGGACTGCACCAAATGTACCAGCAAGTCTTTAAAAAGAAATTCTAATGAATAAAATAAAAATGTATGTTCATATTGTTTTTACCCTCCTGCTAGTAAATGAATATAAGAAGAACGACTTGAAGTATATTGTTGTTGTTGCGACTCACCGGCGTTATTTGTGTCAACGAGACTTGTTGTAGGCATGATACAGATTACAATGATGAATAAAATGAGAATAAAATGATAAATAGAATAGTTTCAATGATGATAATGTTCGATTACTGAAGAACATTTAGAACTTAAGGTTTTTAATCGGTGCTTTTTTCGATTAAGGTTTTTTTTTGCTTTATTTCTTCTTTGTTTGTTTGATTTTATTGAGTTAATTTAAAGGATTTTTTATCAAATAAATAATATGAAAAATTATTGAACATATCTAAAATGATAAAATATGTCTTTATATTTAAATTTTTTATTTCAATTATAAACAATAAATAACGTACAAAATTCAACAATGTCATCACTGATTTCCACTCAATGAGTATGCTCGAAAATGTTAAAATATTTTATAGATCATTGGTTCGATAACAGATTAATAATTTGAAAATTTTTCTATGAAAAATCTCTTACAAAATAATTTCCTGTTTTTGTTGTGTTTTTATAGTTATTTTTAAAAAAAATCAACGAGTAAAAAGTAGCCATGTTTATATAACATTTTTTTTTCTTATGTAAATAAGACGTAGAAGTGCAGAACACAAAGGATATTTATTCATTTCTCATTGCTAGTCGTTAGATAAGGACGTCAAATAGAAGTAAATACCTCAAGAAGTCTTACAGGATAGTAATACTTATTCGGCAATAAATCGCATGAATGAATCTTTGTATGAAGAGAACAACATGATAAACTGAATAACTTTTTAATAAATTTCTCTTAATTTCTATTGACCTACATCTATTTAATAAAAGACAAACAAGCAATTTTCTATAAGCTTTTTTTACAAAAATTATTATAGTATAACAAAAAAAAACCAACAGTATAGCAAATAGTTCACTCTATCATTATATATATAGTATATAACATTATATTATTATGAACCAATTTCGACATACCTGACGATAGCATTTCTAATGGAAATCTTAAACAAAGTGTTTCTTTTAACATCCTGTTTGTACTAGCAAAATGTACATGAATACTTTTTTTTAATCATAAACAGCGTGTATCAAAACGTACAATAACGAAGTTCTTTTAAATTGTGTATTTAAGAAACAGCAGGAAGAAAAATTCTATATTCTTTTTCGTGTGACAAACAATACTTATTGATAATAAAAAAGATGATAAGCAGAAAACATTGTTTTGCTTTTTTTTCTGATGTAATCAAAAAAGCGATTGGAGGATAGAAGGAAAAAAAGTAAACCATTTTAAATTAATCGAATAAATTACATTTACTATTTTTCCATATAAAAATTCATCTACCTTCTTCAAAATAATGTATTATTTTATTCAGCAAAGTGTACTGTCTACACTTTACTATTCGAGTAATGTGTGAAATATCATGTATGACTCAAGCAGCAGGTGTTCTGCACATTTATACTTATGCCTAGGACACCTACCAGTAAAAATACTGCCTATCGGTATGTCGTTGATAAGAAACATGTCTTTTATAAAGATATGCTTTAAAATTTTTAAATAAATATACTTCACTATTAGTATTGTTTTTTTGCGTAGATACAAAAAGTTCTCTATAATATTCTTGTTCTTTTGAAAGATATTCACAATACAATTTAATGTAATAATTAGTTTTGATGAATTTTTTTTTGATGATTGATTTATAATAAAAAAAAAAATGATTTTCTAAAAATAGAATGTGTAATTTTTACATACGTTGTGAATAAATTTCCAATGGTGTAAATACATAAGTGATACAAGATGTAAGAAAAGATATTGTATAAAGAAATGGCCATACAGATGCTCAGAAAGAAATCATGCTCGCAATGAATGACTGTACTCTGACAAATTATTCAACAAGTTTCCAGAATGTACATAGTTGTTAGCACTAAAATAAAAATAATGTTATTTTATGCTATTTGTTCGTTCAATGTACAATCGTAAAAAATTTTTTTTTGGATAAATAGCAGAAAAATGTATTGTTCTCTTTTTTATTAATATGTACGTAACTAAGCGATAATTTCTGAATGGATTAAAACGATCGAATGAAATGCCTCCTTTTCATCATTTGATGATTTAAATATCGAATCCTATTTCGAGATGAATCATATTAATTTGTTTTGTTTTCTTTCTACAAATGATGATTTACGTTTTTTTTTTTGATAGAAACTTTGTATAATTAAATAGCATGACTTGTAGTTCACGAATACTATTACCATTTGCATTATGGCCTGAAACTCCTCCATCATTATCCGTATCATCATTATTTATAAATTTTGCAAGTGATGATCTTATAACAGGTACAAATGATGGTTTTATTGTTTGCTGGAAAATTTTATCTGATCATCAAAAAGTAAATTAAAGTTCTTGTTTTTTTTTTTTTTTATTGTTCTTGTCTTAATCGACATTTTTTATTTAGATTATTCCAAGATTAATGTTAATTGGTCATACAAATCAAATTTCATTTATTGTTGCTTCAATATCAACACATCAACTCGAACAATTTATTACTATTTCAGATACTGATGGGTATGTAATGAAGAATATTTAGTTCTTTTTTTTTGTTGATTTTATTTTGATTTAAAAGAGAAATTAAATTATGGAATAATGAAGATGGTCATTGTATTGAACATATACGAACTAATCTTAAACATCGTTCTGTTCAAGTAAATAAAATTTATATTTTTATATATTTTCTTTAGTTTCTCTTTTTCTAGTGTTTTAATTATCAATTAACAAATGAAAATTTTCTTATATGTTGTGGTTGTTATTCTGAAATACTTGTTTATGATATGCGTACACTTGAAATTAAATATACTCTTACACCATCAAATGTTAATGCTGATTGGATATCAACATTTTTTGTTTTTCAAAAAACAAATGCACCAGGTTTATTTAAGATAACTATAGAAAAGAAAATATTTATTTATTTTTCATAGATGTTATTATTGTTATTGGATTACTTGATAGTGGTTGCGTTAAATTATGGGCATTTGATCCTCGTACAGCTACTTCAAACGTACGAAAAAATATTTTTATAAATTGAAACTTCTAATATTAATAAAAAAATTTTCAGACAGCTGTTGAAGGTACAAGTATAGGAAATAATAATAATATTATACCAGTTGATCTTAAAGAACATGAAAGTAAAGAAATTCGTACACAATTTGGTTCAATTATTGTACCTTGTGAAGAATGTCAAAGAATGATGCTTATTGTTCATGGTCAAGGTTGGCAAGTAAGTAATAGATTTTGTTGTTGTTGTTGATTTCAATAAAGACTAATGATTATTTTAGATATTTGATGGAATTGATTTTACGGAATTATGTTCATATGTAACGGATGAAAAAGATATTGTTAAAAATGAACATTGGATAAATGGATATTTTCCAACACCAGATTTAGTTTTACTTTTTTCTGCTCGAGGTTATGGACATATTTTTCGTCTTCCAGAAAAGTAATTTAAATGAAATGTTTAAAGTTTTTTTATTTCTAATTTTTTAGTGCTACATTTATGAATTCTAAATTTCGTTCACAACATAATAAAACTGATTTACAATTACCACAATGGTTATGTAGATTAAGCGTTGGAAATGAATTAGTAAGAATTGTATTTGTATTTGATGAAATCAAGAAGATTATAAATCCATATAAGGAATCATTGCATTAGAAAGAAGATAATTGAATATTTGGTTAGAATCAGAATCATGTGCTCTTTCCGAGTTTTTGTAAGAATCAGGTGGTCAAGAGTTACGAGCAAAAGGTCTAGGATAGAGATAAAATTTATTCGAAATACATCAATAGAAAGAGCAAAGGATATTCTCATCGTCAGTTTATCAGCAATGAGAATTTCGGTAAGAAATATAATGACGTGTTTGCAATTTCTTGATCTCTAGACTTACAAAGTGAACTCGATCGTTTCTGACTAACAGCTGTGAGACTTTTAATTTCTAGCTAACTTTATAGAGGATAGTTTCGATCATTATGCTATGCAATAGAGGACATCATTACTAGCAAGGAAGTTTATTATACAGGTGCTAATTCAAAACATGATGCAGTCATAGAAAAGAAAGTTAGATTAAACGACATTCGTCGTCTCAAGATTATTCTTCGAAGATTTCTGAGGCATTGAACACTTTGTTTGAAGGCACACCTACTTCGACTTTCAGCTCGGGACACCGCTGATTTATTTTTCTGAATTATAAGAAAAACATAAATTTTTGGTAATTTTAGAAACTTGCCCAAACACCAATGTTTTCTTGTCATACAAAATTAAAACAATGTCAAGTTTATCGAGCTGATTCCTCAGGTCAAATATCTGTTTGGCATATAAATGTAAAACATTTTTCAACAGATGCCGGTAAAATTTAATCATTCTTTGATCTTAATATTATAAAAATGTTTTTTTTTAAATAGATATTCTTCCAACATGTTCAATTTCTTACAATGATATTTGGTCACATGCATTAACAAATATTCGGACTATAAGAAAAATTTTAAATGATGTATATTATGAAAAATTTCTATTTTAATTTAAATATAAATATTTATTTAGATATTACCAAATAAAATAAATAAATTGACAGCATCATGTCATTTAATAACAATGGATCGTCTTGCATTTGGTACTGATAATGGAAAAATTTATATAATGCCAGCATTAAAACTTATTTCAAGTCTTTTTTTAAATAATAATCAACATAAAGAAAACTTTGGTATTTAATCTTCTTTTTTTACATTTGTTTCTAATTAGAGAAGAAAAAAAAACGAATTTTTTTAGATATTCAAACACTTAATGGTCATAATCAAACAATAACATGTTTAATTCATCCACATAGTGAATATTCACGTTATGATATTCAACATTTGGTTAGTGGTAGTAACGATCATTCAATCCGTTTATGGGATTTATCAACAAGTACACAATTACATATGTTTACTGTACATTCCGGTACAATTCTTATGTTTCACATTCCACCACCAATGCTTAACGTAATAAAAACTTCTTTGTTTTCTTTTTTAAATAAATTCATTTTAATTTTAATTTATTTTAGGTTAAAGTACAATATTGTATTTGTGCAATAGCTAGTGATCATAGTGTTTCATTAATTAGTTTAAAAGAACGTAAATTAGTTTTATTAGCTAATCGACAATCATATCCTGTTGTTGGACTTCGTTGGAGAATAAATGATGATTTTTTACTTATAAAATGTTCGGATGGAAGTTTATTTATTTGGCAAATTGAAACAGGAAATCTTGATCGTGTTGAATATGGAATATTAGCTGAAGAATTATTTGAATGGTATAATGATCCAAGAATACTGAGTGCAAATAATGATCTACAAAATGATCCATTATCAACAGTAATGGTATCTTCACATTATTTTCAAATAAGATCAACTGGAAAAAGAAAAGATAATGATCAATTAAGAAAATTAAATAAAAAATTCGGTATGAAACAACAAATAATAATAAAATTAAGACAATCATTCATTTTCATAAGAAATTCTGTGTAAAATACTTGAGATTAAAAATGAAATGATAATTGTTCTTAAGAGAAGAGATGTGCGGAGCGAGGGAAAGTCCGGACGGTTGATTTCAAAATAATTTTTGCCCACTAATTGCTGTACTTGATATTCGAAACTTCACGATCAAATATGACATAGCATTGTCTTAATAAAAAGCATAAATTAAAATAAAAGTTGTGATCTTTCTTTTTTTTCCAAATTATTATACGAAATCAATTTTAGTTGTAATATTTCTTCAGTGATAAAATAAATTTTCTAAAGAATGATAATTTTAATTCAAGTTTTATTAAGGTACTTCACGTCATGATTTAATGAGTACATCATCATTTAAACATACTGAATATCGTTTACCAATTATAATACAACAATTTCATACTAATATTGGCGATGATTTAGCAATACTTATTCTTTTTGATTTACTTCAACTTATTAGTAAGTGTAATTGCTTTATAATTAAATATAAATAAATATTACATTGTTTGCTCTGCTTATTTGTTATTTGATTTAATTTATTTATATGCTTATGCTAGGTCAAATCATTGTGTTCGATCTTGAAAAACAACACGCTCAAAAATCTAGTAATGCTCACTTTGGATTTTTTTCTATTTATTAACTAATTTCTTCTTCTAATTTCATTCATTTTCATTAGAACAAATTGAAATAACAAATAAAGATACTCGTATACAATTAGATCAAACATCGACATCATTATCAATCTTATCAAATTTACTTATTTCATTACTTCATCCATGGTCATTTGATAAAAATATTGATAAAATTTGTCAAGAACGTCTTCGTCTTAATCGTGTTAATCGATTTTTATCCTATGGTATATTAAGTAAAAATGAACATTTAACTATTGTTTTACCGACATGGCAACAATATTTAAATGATAACGTACCTGAGACATTTTTATCCGTTTCTGATACACTTATTTCATTTGCTGGAATGGAAACAGATGATAATGAAACATTAAAACAGTATGTATTCTAAATAGACTAATATAAATTGGGTGTGTGACTGATTTAAGACTAAGATATTATTCGATAAATGGTCCTAGCAACAAGATTAATTAGGAATCATACACGTTGATGAGTTGAATACACGAATACACCTGTTTCTATGTAGACTAATGTCTACAGAAGCATAATTTGAAACTCCAAACGGTACAGCACTTGGACTGATCGACTAAGTCATTACCTTTACACAAAAATTGATTTTTGATTTTTAAAAATTGTCAACGTCTTATAACAGTTTTAAGAGATGGTATCGTCTGGTTTCCTGTCAATTAGATCTGTCCTATCGTTTTCTCTCTTTTTTCATTTCAAAATTCATCGAAAAACCTCAGGCATCGCTAATCAATGCATCGGCTTACACCTCTGTTAACAATGAATTTTCCGAGATAAATTCTTCGAATTGATTAGATATAAAAATTTAAACTTTATTCAAATAATTATTTTAGAAAACAAAACCGAATTGAAAGTTATGTATATCAATGGCGATGGACATGTTCTACAATTCTTAATACTGAACATTTATTAAGTTCAGTAACAATGGTCTATATTTTAATGAATTGTGATCGTTGGATTAATAATATGTAAGTTTATATTTTCAATTAAATTTTATTATATTTATTTCGTCTAGATCAAGTGATCAAGATGAACAAGCACTTGTAAATAAAGAAAATAATTTTTTATAAATTTTTATTTTGTATATAAAATAATTTTTAGTTATCACAACGAGAGAGTTGGAGTAGATTATTACAATTTTATTGTTCAGATATGCTTGAACAATGTCAAACAAAAGTTTTTCAATCATTATCAATTGAAATCTTATGTTCACATTGGCAAGATTTATGCTTAGAAGTATATTCAGAAATTTATTTATTTATTTATCTTAGTTTTTTCATTCTTTTCTATTAAAGTTACGTGATGCTGCTNTGTTCTTCTATATTTAGTTGTCCGTACCAGTATATGAGTGAAGAGCACGCCAATTGTACCGTTTGGAGAAAAAATCGAAAAAAATAAATTTAATGATAAAGGAAAATTAAGTGTCGTATTTAATAGAGCTTTGTCGAATATGTATAAAAATAATATTTTCCCAATACTTCCCTGTGCTGTGGTGGAGATTCACGATATTACAGCCAATTTATATATGCTACATCCATTTTCCAATAAACTTAGTGTATAAACTACTCCCATAAACACGTTGCTAGTAAAATTATTTTGCGTGTCAAAGTTTTTTCTCTTAGTACCTCATTTGATACTCAATGAAGTTTGTTTAAATAAAATTTGTTTCAACGAAATTTCAATGACTTTAACGTCGTCCTACACTTTTTACCACAGAAATCTCGCTCTACACTTTCTTAATAAAACTGGATTTTCTTTCTAACGGAGAAAGATTTTTGTTTAATTTTTTGAGATATTACTCTACTTTATGAGATAAAAAATGGTTAAATTTTTGTCGCAAATGGTTTAGTTTCGGTTGAGTTATAGCAATAACAAAATTTAAAATCTCGCTCTACATATTGTGTGAACATAGCTTTTTTTGAACTCTGTATAAAAATTTTGTATTAACAAAGTATATGAAACGAATTTCTGTTACTTGTCAAATTATTTTCCCCTTCTCTGTCTTTCATATTCGATCAAAATTGTTCCAATCAAATTTCTTGAAATTAAAAGCCAATGATTTTAATCTCGCTCTGCACAAAAATCAAAAGGTGTCTTAACGTGCATTGTTGATAACCTTGCATTTATAGAACTTTATGTGAAGCAAAAAAGTGACAACGTATTCTGAAAGCGCTTAAAGAGCTCTGCAATTCTAGCTAAAAACATAATTCAAAAAAAAGTTGCAATGGAATATAGAAAAATTGATCTTCTTCTTGGGGGTGGCGTTAAAAGCTAGATATTTGACACTGTTGCTACGATTTCTCGTAAACCAAAAGAGATGGAAACTTAATTTTTTCAGAAGTGAATGGTCATGTCTAGTCCAATAAAATAAAAAAAATTATCAAAATCGATTGAGTAGAACTCGACTTATAAGCTTTTTTCTTTTCGAAACCCAACGGTACAATTGGCGCGGTCTTCACTCATATATATATATAAAGAAAAAGAAAAAGAAACAATAGATTTGACAAGTATATATGGCTCATCACCTGATTGTCTTTTAATCTTTTATCTGCTTTGTATGTTTTACTCTGTTATGTACATTTGTTTTATCAGTATTTTATCATTTGAACTGTTCGAGAACTTCTGAAGAAGATCAACTTCATTGATCGAAACGTCAAGAATAACAATATTTTATAAATAAATAGGAAGAGAACCCTTATAATAAATAATGCCAAAAAACTTTCTCAGTCGTAACGAATTGTCAACCCTCTATGGAACACGAACATATGCCATCGCAAAAAACATGGAAAAATTATACTATAAGAAAATGAAAATAGAACAACATATTAATTATTTACAAAAATGCAAACAATACCACAAAATTCCTAAAGGCTTAACAATAAAGAATATAACAAATATTCGANTCTGTGGTAGTTAATGGAATATTGTCGATAGTAGAAAGTGTTTGACGATTTGATAATGGTGTTGGTAATGGTAGAAATGCTGATGCCGAAGGAAAGAGATTAACATTTTCATTTGGTACCGGTAACTGATCTTTTGAATTATACATCATCGACTGAGACTAAATGTATTAATTTAAAAAAATCTATGCCTATTTTGATCATGTAAGATAGATGCTATTTGCTAAATGACAGTAAGTGTAGAACTTGTTTTTTCGTAAGACAAAGAATGAAATCTATTCAAACCAAGAGTTTTCTTTTGGAGAAATTCTGTTTTAATTCAATTCGACTATAGAACACAAAACTGATTAATGTCTCGCTTGAAATCTCGGAGAGAAAGCTATGAAGTGCTTTAAGATGTAAAGGAAGCATCATATTATAGACTTGATAATTAATATTTTGTCAGTACTCACAGATCGTTGATTATTTGATTTGTGATTACCAACACTACTAAAAGACATGACTGATGATGATGTTGACAACCGAGACATTGGTGAAATAATTGCATCAGTTATGGACGAAGAAGCAATATTTCGGTTAGTACTAAAAACAGGTGTTTTAATATAATAAATAATCGTTTTTTTAGATACATAGAAAAAAATATATATGAAACATACAGAAAATCATTTACAAGATAGGTTGATGTCATTGATGATTGTTGATTAGATGAATTAAACTGTAAATTCAAATTTTCGGCATCGGATTGCCTGTTAATTGAAAAAGAAAGAATATATATTAATGTCTTGCAAAACAGTTGGTCAATAAATAAACTATTTCGACAACAATAATAGAATATAAGAAACTTTTTAACTTACCATCGAGACATTGTGAAAGATTTTTGTGAACTGAATTCATCGAGAAACAAATTCTGATTCTCTTGTGTATTTATAAGATTGCTCATACTGTCTAATGTAACTGACGACCGAAGAGGCGAAAGTACAGACAAAGCAGACAATGTAGGAATAATTCCACCATTAACTACTGTATCATTTGATGAAAATTGAGAAAAAACTAAACAAAAGAAAAAATTTCGAATATAACTAGTAAATATGAATATTGTGAAAAAAAAACATGCTTGAATCAGGAGAAGCTGATAGCGCTTTTAATTGTTCGTCCATGATAGTCGTTTAGTAATGTTCGTTAAATAAATAATCTAAATATGAAATAAACATTCAATTAATTAGTTGTTTCTTTATTTGTTACTTAAATGCTAAAGTTCATTTAAGAAAAGAAAGTTCATGAACATATGCTGCATTCATGCATAAGAATCATGCATATAAATCTTTGCCTTTTGAGAAATATAATGGTTAGTTATAGTTTAATACACAACTATATAAAGAAAGAAAAAGTCTTTCTCTCTCTATATATATAGTATGCATGCATGGGTATAAAGAAAACAACGAACGTTGTATTTTAGCTATACCGAAATAAATTCAAAAGAGGTCACGTTGTATCACAAATATACAAGAGATTGTGATCTATGAATAGACATTCCTTTAATGTTTGAAAAACTATAAAATGAATTAATCGAAAGTTTTGTACTGAATTTCGAATGTGACATAAGAGATGAGATGGGCAGAATGATTTTTATTTTAGAAGAAACTAATGTTTTGTATAAAATAATTTTCTACTGATATCGAAGTACTTGGTTCAATAAGCTATGTACGTCTTATGTGTACAGATAACAAAATTTGTTGAATTCTTTTATAGTTTCATTTAAAGATACACGTGAATATTGTGTTACATACATGATATCAATGACTTTCACTTTTACAAACAAAATTTATGATACGATTGAGCATGGCCCAAACTGTCGAAAGTTTTCTGTACAGTGAATCAAGTTTTAATAAGAATGGCTTTTTTTTTTTATTCGGGGTAAAATAATATTCAAAAGTGACTTAACTTAGCCATCGATTTTTAATACACTAGCTTTTAATACGACTTAAATTAAACGCAGTTTCGTGTAATATATAATTCAGTGATAAGCGTTGTTTATTTTGTACTATTTGATTCAAATACTGTTTGCACTCATTGCAATATATTTTTTGTTTTCTCTAATCCAATTCTGTAGTACTGTAATTCAGAGAGTTGGAATAGGTAAAGTTGTTTTTGCTGCTACCAGTCGGAACGGTCAGACCAGACCGATATATCAGCATAAGTCATTCTTCACTTTACTAATCCTATAACAGTCAAATTAGTCCTGGATTTAGTCGTATTTGTCTCTTAAACATTTTAGAAATGGCATAAGAGTTCTACTTCATAGAACTACTATGCGTGAATGTGAATGTTTAAATGTATTTTGTTCATAATCTTTCTCTCACCTACATCTTCTTCGCCGAAGCCACACTACATTCGAACCCTCTAGAAACAGCACATGATTTTCAAAGTTAAGACTTGTGTCGTGTTTTTCTTAATAAAGGTTTTTCTGTTTTTTCACTTATTCGTGTGTTAAAGACTTCTGAACTATTCTAAATGCTAGAAAGTTCGGGAAGATATTCAAATGAAGCAATAGTTATGTCGTACAACTTAACCGAATCAGATTCACTTCAATTTCTTGCTTGTGTGTGAGAAAAATCAATTGGTTTCGAACACATCGCGCTAATTTTTCAAATCGTGAAAATTATAGAAACGCAACTTCAAAAATCTTGCTCTATTAATTTGTAGCTGTAGTTTTTGGTTCTTAATATTAGTCAAACTCTTGAACAACGCAATATTATTCACTGAACTTTTGACTGTTAACTATCAAGGAGAGAGAACGCTTAAATAGTTTAATTCATTTTTATGTAGTTCAGTACATAATTGAGAGATATTGATCAATCTTGAAATAATGAGTTCATGTGAAAAATTCTTGCTAAAATATTTCTGTAGAATTACAAGTTTGATGACATTCTCGATAATACTGATTTGAGTATTAAGTTGATTCTGTATGATTGTTCAATAAAATATTGCTTTGAATTCATTTATCAAATTACAGAAGAGATAATCTAAATACTGACGAGCCGGATCAATTGCTTATGGTTCCAGTTTCTCGTTTAGTAATACATGTACTGGAGAAAATTACGATATCATATTCTAGCAGTGTCAATGAGTTCGAGACATCTTCCATGATCTCTAATACCCTCCGTGTCGACGATTCATTACTTTTTTTTTAATCCACTAATACTTCATCTATTCTGTATGGTTATGTGTTCGACAATTCTGTTATTTACGAAAGAAAAGGATTAGTTTTACTATCAAAATTGTAACAGCAAATATTGAAATGATCGTTGTTCAATAATTTTCGCATCAACTTTTAGAACATATGAACCATGAAAATATGATATTTGAAGTAAGTTTTACACGATCATAAAAAAATATCACGCCCAATAAAAAAGTATTGATCTTGACTCTAGTCTCGAAACCATCTTGCTCATATCTAAATCCAAACAGAACAATGTGTCGTTCTCATCTTGTCATGATATATTAGATCTAATTTAAGAAAGCTAAATTAAAAAATGTCGTAGAGAAATAATAATAACATTGACAAATGCTCAATTATTTTTGCAATCGTTGTAAAGGCTTGTCATTGCTCTGATTTATCAAGTAAATACTGTAATATAAATGCATGATCACGTAAAAAGCAAAAGCTTTGATCGAATTTTCGTGCGAGAATAAAAACTGATTTTCTTCAAGTCCAATTCTTTTGTTAAACTCATTTTAAAAATTCTCATTTTTTTTATTATATATACTTATAGAACAACTTCGAATAATTGCTGAATGAGCTATCCGTTTAATTCAGTTGTTGTTGATCTACATGAGACATGCATTAACATCTACTATTAATATATATATATATATATATTTCACATCTGTTACCTAGACACTAAACTTTAATCAATACTTGCGTGGATTGTAGACAGACAGAAGACTAGTTTTATATCTATATTATTTTCAACTTTTACTAGTGTCTATCGTTAATTCATAATCTATTCATGCGATGAAAGTTCTTTTTTTTTCATTGTTACATAAAACATTGTTTGCCTTCGCTTGCACTACCGTCTTAAATCAATTAATCACAAGGTTAAACAAATTTCTATCTTGGAAACAATTTCCTTTCAATCAGTATTGGCGTACTATAAATAGAATAATATGAATATTCAACAGATATACAAATATATTTTCAACAAAAATCACGATTTCTTTCTAAATATCTTATCTGAAATGATTATTCACTTGATAAGAGGATCAAGTAGGGAAAAAAAGGTGAATAAAATACTTGAAAATATCTTCAATCCAGCATCTATCAAGAGAGGAAAAAAAGTTGACAGGATGAAAAAAAAAGAACGATCAAATGAAGCAACAAAAGAAAGGTACACAGAAACATCTGCATCTATTGAGTTGCGTCGACAATATCTCCATGTTAACGGGCAAACGTGTACACATGCACATACATAAATTGAGCAACCAAATAGAGTACAAACTTTTTCAATAGAATGAACAACAAAAACGACAAAGAAGAAGTTGACATCGTTGATAATGATGATGATGATGATGATGATGGTGATGGTATCAATGATATATCCCAAGACTTAGTTAAATGTCCTGCGTGTCAACGACGAATGCGTCCAGAAGTTTTTTCCAAACATCCAAATGTTTGTCGTGAAAATCCAACAAAAAAACGTGATATTCATGTATTTGATATGACACAATATCGTGCCATCAGATCAGGTGACAAAGTTATACCAGTACGTAAAGTATTACCTTTCAATGCAAATAAACCAAACAATAATAATAATAATAATAATAGCAATATACGACCATCTCAAACACGCAGTGCTAAACGTAATCGTCGGCTGGATGATACAGTTGTACCACCTATTATCAATAATTTCTGTATGTAAATTACATTAATATTTTCACGTAAATCAGATTTTCAGGAAAAAAATTAAAATAATTTGACAAAAATGAAGCAGAAAAAAGTTGAAGTTAACCTTGTGGATTATGAGGTTATAAAAGGTTATTCGTTGTGCGAGATAATGGTCTTTGAAGTGTGTTGATTTTTATACAAACAAAAATCTTTCACCCTTCATGGAATTTTATTGAACACATACAATACATAAAAGTTTGATCGAAGCCTAGTAACAAAGTGAAAACGAAACCTAATAAAAATACAAATATTGAGATATTTCTTTCTTTGATTCAAATGACACATAAATGTATGTTCAGAAAGGAAATAATAGTGGAAAAGAAGGACTTTTTTAAAAGCACTATATAGAAAGTTGCATTTAGTCAGTAAATTGCTAATGCATGATTCATATTTCTTCTTTTATTTTTACTCCGTATTACATAATAAAATATCTGTACGATTGAAATTCTGATCACATTATCTGAAGAGTTTGTGTCTCTAGTAAGAGTTACTCTTGGAAAGACTAATATCTATATTAAATTTTATGATTTTTCATACAAAAATAACCTTCTTAGAAATCATTTATAAATCGTATGAATAAGACTATTATGTAATTTAAATTATCATAGGTTGTCCAAATTGCAAACGTACATTTTGTGAAAAAGCTTATGATCGTCATGTTGCATTTTGTTCAAGTAAATTAAAACAATTACAACAACCACCATCAGAAGAAAGACTTCTTGCTCAACTTAAACTTGATAGACGAATAAAATTTGGTTCAAATCGTACATGTTCAACTCTTGCAAATACAACACCTGCTATACCTACACCTATTCAACAACCTATTTCTACTCCTATAAACAATAAACAAACAGTACAACAAAAATTATCGGTACCAAGTGAAAAATTTTGTTTTTTATCCATGCGAAAAAAACCTTCAGATTCCTTAGCACGTTGTCCATGGTGTTCAAAACCTTATATGCCGAATTGTATACATTATTGTAGAAATTCAAAAGAATTATTTTCAATTCATTCGAAATAAAAAATAATAATAAGTTCTCTATCAAAGCAAAAATGAATATATATTTATCTTTGAAAAAAAAAGATACACAGTCATGAATCATAGAAAAATTTTACAAGATAATAACGAATAAAAAATGGAAGTAAACATCCAAATACAACCTAAAATTGAATGAAATTCTTTTTTTTTTTATTTAAAAATTTATTAATTAATAAATTTACTTGTATGACTATTAAAATTTGAGTAAGTGTTCCTTCATATAATGGACCACTCCAACAAAGAACTGTATTAATAATAGTAAAATTGGTTGTTACAATCATTACTTCATTATCATTCATTTTATATTCTCGATATTTTATAAATTTTGTTGCTGAGAAAAATCGTAACATTAACCAGCCAAGTGGTTTTAAATCTTTTTTTTTAAATTCAATTTCAGATGGGTTCAATTTATTTAAATCAATATTTAATCTACACAAATATATTATAATAATAATAATAATCAAATAGATTATAAAAAAATCAAAACATACCTTGGTAAACGGTGTCTTGGACACGGAATAAAATGAAATAATTGAGGGATTGAAAGAAGAAAATTAATAATTTGCGGTATAAAGAAAAGTAGCATAGTCTTACTAAAATGTCCAATAATACCGACTACTGCAAATGTCATACCAGCAAAATAACAAAACGTATCACCAACAAATATTTCTGCTGGACACCTAATTTAATATAAAAATTAACATGTAATTAGAATGAATAAAATACAAAAGAAAAAAGTTGACAAACCAATTTCGGAGTAAAATTGGAAAAGTACAACCAATGAATGCAATCATAAAATATACTGAAAAGAGATGCTCTTCTGAACAAGAACCTAAAAAATAAATTATTTTGTTAATTATTTATCTAGCGTTAATGAGAATTGCCACCTGTCGTCCTCACAAAAATGAAAGCTGATGTAAACACATGGGAAGATAGTTCGAAGTCTGATTTCTCGTAAACGAGATGTTTTTTTTATTTGACAACTCGTTTTTTTCACAAATTTCCGTCATTTTCTGCTTAAAAAAATCCTTGTTTCTTTTGAATATCTCCCAAAAAAAATTCATAATATAGTACTTAAAATTTCATAACTTGACTGTGCCTAATCCAAGATTGATTTTTGAGGGAGTAGAAGAAAATTTATTCAAGTTTTGGTTTTCCATTGATGATATAGCTTCGAAGTGTCCTCTATCAAATGTCATATAAACGAGGGCTCTTATTTGTTATTAGTTAGTACTTTTATTAAATCTAACTCTCGGGATCATTAGAAGAAAAACTCGTGCTGCGATTATTCTTTTATTTGCAACATTCTCCTAATAATAACTTCTAAAGGTGCTGAGAGAATGAGTTATGTGCCTCTAATACTGCTGAACACGGCTAGTTTTTTTTGATCACTTTAGTTGAAGAAAAAAAACTCTGATCGGCTTGTCCGTGGGTAACGCACTCACGTTTCGTCAACTTTCGATCCGATTTTTTTAGCAACAACAAAGCATAGGGTCTTGAAACTTGGAGGATATATGTATGTTATGAAACACTTTAACATGTATGAGTTTCATGCAAATCGATTTTACGGTTTCGCTTTAATACTAAAAATACATGCCGGTAACGCACTCACAAAAAGGCCGTCCGTTCATTGCGTGTTGTTAGAACGTGTGAAATTTCTGCGAATACTTGNAACCAAGAATCTATGGGAGGATATTTTTTGCAGGGGTGGGGAGAGAGGGAGGGGGGGGGGGGGGGGGGGGCGGGGGCGGGGCGGAGGCGATTGCCCTCCATTCCGAAATATTTTTCTCAGGAGAGAATTCTCTAAAACTAGCCGATACGACTTCGAGGCACTCTTTGATCATAATCGTCACCTTTCCGAAAAATCCTAGATCAGTTACTGTTCATATCCTATTAAAGCCTGATTCATTAGGAATTTGGCGATGGACGTTCTTCAATGTAGCATCTCAAAACTAATGAATATTCTTTTCACTATCAGATTAGAGTGTGCTAGAAAATGTCGAAGAAAGTGATGTCTCCAGTAAATGATGATTCTCAACATTTTAAACTCATTGTTGCTTTTCTTATAACTTCACTGATCCGAATTTGTAACCACTAGTACTGGTGATGAGTAAAACCGGGTATAGATTAACTAAAAGAGTCGGACAAATAATTTTTAAATAACTAAAATTTTATTAATATGGATACAGCTGCTCTATCCATACTAGATTTAAACGACCGACAAACGCTAGCTATTTCATTGCAATTCACTATCGTATGGATAATCTTGGTAAACGATATTATGACGATGTTATCATTTTTTCTAGAATACTTAGATGGTTAATAATTTACATTTCCTAAGCAAAAATAAATAATACTATAATTTTTTTCTTTTTTAAGTTCTTGATTTATGTTTGATATCTGTTAGAATGTTAGTGTTATCCCATACGATAAAGCATATGCCTCACAAGTCAGAATTATCAAAAGCATTTTTCGATCATTTTCCATGTCGATATATTATTTTTTCGACATTTTTACGGCCAATCATACTAGCCATCGAAATTTATTATTCACTACTGTGGGTAACACAACAGCATTACAAGAGGTACTATTTGCTTCCAAGAATATTCAATATCTCCTGGTTATAGCAGAGTAAAACTACTTAATCCGATATACCTAAATTCAATACTATCTGCAGTTCATATGGGAGAAATGACTCATACTGTCATGATTTAGTGAATTGTTATCTTGATGAATAAACTTCACTTCATATCTATCCGCAATATGATTATTTAGGCAACACATAAGCATTAAATGATCTTCAAAATTTATCGTTGGATCAGCATCAATGGGCATAATCATAAATCAGTCTCCATTTCTTTTAGACTGACTGTATGATGCTTAATGAGTTTGATTAAAAGAATTGAAGTTCGATTAGGCAACATTGAATGGATGAAACTCAGTGGCTGATCTTCTCTACTGTTTGTTACCAATAAAAGTAGGCTCGTCATTCGACATTGATAGTTTCTTTTTGTTTTCTTTTTAACTTTAATTTACAATTTAGATTTTTAATTTTATAATCAAATTTATTCATTATCTCGAAATCAGATAGTAGATCAACTACCTGCTAACAATAAATAGTTAAACAAATCTGAAGAGCAATGCCTTGATTCTCCTAGATGAGTGTTACGTGTGTATTTTTTTCAAGGCAGGAATAATTGTTCAAATTTCAGACAACTTTTTACATGAATATAAAGACAAGCACACAATAATCAGTAAGCAGAACCCAACGAGAAAAGAACCTTGACTTTGTCCTAATTTGTGTTAAGTAAATCTTTTTCTTTCAATAAAAGGCATTACACTAATTTCAATTTCATAATGCACTATCAAATGATGCAATACTCAAGCTTTCATAAAGCATGTCCATGAGAGAAACTCAATTCAAGTGACAAAGATTTTACCACTGCACTGTTCACTATTGGGAAAGGAGAGACACAATGTATTCATGTAAACCTTTTTGCTTCTTCTAAAAAATTGAGTTTCCATCATCCATGTTCATTATCTCATCTTCTTTGTCTACAATAAAAACAACAACTAATGTCTACGTCAAAATAAAAAAAAATGAGTGGATATAATCTTAATAACTCGACCACGTCAATAGTTAGCAGTCGAAAGAGGAGAACTCCGGACGTATTTTTGTTTGTTACTATATAAGAAATCTATCATCTATCTTCCCAAAATATTAAAAAAATGCATGGAAATGACGTTCCGTTTTGATATAATATTGATTTTGGCATGTGCTTCAGATCGATAGTTCCGTTGTGTACTTCATTGTCGAATTCATTTCGATGGTATATATCCATGAGTTTCATTCCGGTGATCGTTCCGTACGTTCACTTTTCTGAATATTTATCATGTATATATACTGCAGGAATCATCTCAGAATATCGCCTATGAACTCGGCCATTGAAATGAAGATCGCTTAAATGCAAATCAATGACTTTCAGCGAAGACCATACTGATCTATAACTCAAAGCACGATTCAAGTGACTATCTTCTCATATCTCAATGTTGAGTAAACAAAATTGCGTATTTATGCTGAAAACCGCAAGTTGTTAGCTGTTGTCGTTGTCGAGTTACTAAGATTGTACTTATCCGTCTTCAGTTCAAGCGCGGATATTACTCCGTCTTCAGTAACATTAATTATCATTCCAGAGATCTCATAACCAGACCGGTCACACCTCTTCTTTTCAGTTTAATAACTTACTTTTGATTAAGTTGAGCATCAAATATTTAATTAAATCATTTTCATACTACGGTAATAATATTCAATGAATTTATTTTATGACTATAAATAAAACTCTATTGACATTACAAGAACTTCTTTTTCCAATTCGTTCGATAGAGAATTCAATATTACATTTCTTACTGCATCTCTATATGATTCAAGTCCATGTAATACTTTTAGTTTTACTTTATCATCAGTTTTTAGTTCAATGACAATATCAAGAATAAAACCTTTACTATCTCTTACTTGCTTTCAGTTTTTCATACATAATAAAATTCATCTTTGATACTCACAAATGTTTTATATGATTCTTTTAATTTTCATAACTTAGTGAAATTTCTCATTTGATATTTTCAATAATTTTGCTATCAAATTGAAGTATTTTAAATATCAATCTATTTCTTTATGAATTAAAAATTGTCTTTTTTATTATGTTCTCACATATAAAACATAATTACGATTAAAATAAACAAAAAAGTATTTAATCTATACAAGTATGCCGATGATTTAGCGACAATAATACCTTTTACACGTTTTTCACATAAATTTTTTCTTTTTGTTTGATTATTATCTTCATTTATTTGATAACATGGTAATTGAGATTGTTGAAGTTCATTAGGACTTAAACATTCATATCCAATTGGACCTGTACATACATCAGGTAATTTAAATCTCGGTGAACGTTGTTCTAAATACCATTCAAGTGTACAATCACATTGTATTGGATTATTATCAAGATTAATTTGTTTTATTGAATTAATTAATCGTTGAAATATTGATTTTTCAAATAAACGTATTAAATTTCCATTTAAATTTAATAATGATATATTATTTGTTTGGTCAAATGCATTTGTATCAATATTTGATATTAATGATGATGATAAATCAATTTCACCAATATGTTCACAGCCTTGAAATGCAAATGAATGTATACGTGATATTTCACCATGAGATAAATTAACAAGACGAATTGATGTCATATGTGAAAATGATAACGAACGTAAGGATGTATGAATACCGGTTAATAATATTGTATCACATGTATGGAATCCAAAAAAAGCAAATGCATCAATTTGTTTTATTGGACATGTTGGTAATGAACATAATATTAAAGTACCAACTGATTTAAGACCAAAAAAAGCATATGAATGAATGATCTATTTTAATAAAGAAAAGTTTTGCAAAATTTTTGAAAATTTATAATGCAGACTAGAGAACATGAAGTGATGCAAAAAAAAGTTTAACAACAACGTAATTTGAGTTTTTTTTTCTATAATGTTAAGTATTTAGTTCAAGTCTAGATAGTGATTTTGATAGTCAATGTAGTTTTCTTTTATCAAAACTTCTAAAAAATCAGACAAAATGATTTTTAAGTCCTGGAAGATTTTGTCAGAAGTATTTTTTTTAATAATCCCATTTTTATAGAGAATAAAATGTGAAAGTTTGATCTAATAACTTAACATTATAGGAAGAAAAAGTAAGAACTATGTTTCTTGTTAAACTTTTTCCTACCATCTTCGTAGAGCCTATCGAATTGGTGTCGGATCCGAAAATTTTGCATCCAATGGACTCTACATCTTAGTATCGTTTCATTTTTGGTCAGACTCAAAGATAGAATAGGTCTGATGTTTTGATGACCGATACCGGTTCGACTGATCTGCACGTTAAGTATTGTCCCGATTCGTGAAGACTGATTTACCGGCAGACCAGTTCCATCTATGGTCACATTATCTAAAAGTTGTTTTCTTTATTAAGATAATGAATGAAGAACAACTAGTATTGATTCAAACAGATACCTATTGATGGAAAACATTACTCTTAACAGTTATTAGATACATCACAATAATGCATGATGGACATATAAATCTTAACTATTGAGCAAAGACTGATGTATAGAGATACTTATCAATAACTATTTAATAACATATGTACACAAATGAATAAGTTGATGTTGTAATCGAATATCAACATAAGAGAAAAAAATGACTTAACAATAGCGCATGTTTTTAGATTACTTGTCTATACGTTAAACAATTGAGTATTATCTTAGATCTTCTGTTTTGAGAATGATTTTAAATTATAATCATATTTATTCTTTATGAATGATGTTGTTTTTCGTAATGAAAATCTACGATTAATGAATAATATATTCAGACTTACTTCTAATGGATTACTACTAAGATCTAATATATCAACAAAATGTGTATAACGAAATGCTTCTGTATGTATAACGTATATTGAATTCGATATAAGTGATATACGATGTATATATTCAATATCACTAAATGAGAATGGACTTAATTCAGTTAAATTTTGATTTCCTTCAATACGAAGTTCATATAAAGATGGTAGATGACGAAATGCATGTGGTTGAATTCTATTAAGTCCAGTATTAACTATAGAAAGATAGCGAAGATTTTGAAGACCCTAAAATGAAATTTTCACTAAAAAATATTAAAAAAAAAAATAAAATAAAATAAAATAGATTATACTTGAAAATCGTCAGTTTTTATTAATGTTATTGATGATGTATGAACAAGATCAAAACGAAAAATAGATTGAGTAAATGCTGTTAAATTATGATTTGTCGAATACCATGAACGTGGTAAATGAGTAATTGTTGTTGAATAACTACAATCAATTGTATTTGGACTAGCACAAGTGCAATCACTCAATGTTTTGAACAAATGTGGACAGTTGTTAGTATTACGATTGTCAGATTGTGATCGTACAATATGATTAGAAGTTAATAGAATAAAGAAAAATATTTGATATTGACTAGAAAAAGAAATATTCATAAGAATTATTTTAATATATTTATATATAAATAATTTTTCGAACTTACGTCATCAATCATGTGTATATGTATAATTGTATTTGAGTATGAGATATGATCTGAACAGGAAACAACAGAACAAATATCCTTGATAGACTTTATCGCACAAATGTTGTCATAAACAACAAGAAACAGGCAACTTGATGATTATATAGTGAACAATAGAATGTGGGAAAGGTTATTCATGTTATAATCTCGTAACATGCATATGTGCATGTATTCTATTTTTTTTTCTAGTAGTCTTTAGAGGTTTTATTTTTTTCACCGATCAAAATAATTGTGAACGGCTAAAGCGTTGTTCGAATTTAAGTATGTGTGTATTTATGATTTCTATCAAATCAAAATTAAAAGCAGAAGAAGATAGAAGCGGAGACATAACATCCATTGGAAAGAACAGATTGTATCTAACACACCATCAATCTTTTCCATTTTGAGACAAAGGAGAAGAAAAAAAAAAAGAGAAAAAAAGAGAAAAGTTTGTTCATTAAGATTCTGTTCGCTTGTCAAGGAATATATTTTTTACATTAGAATTAAATAAAAATAAGAAAACCTTGTACGTACATAAATAATAACAATCGCTAAATGTTCTTCTTCTTCTGACCAGTTATTGTACAAAAAAATATATTTTTTTTTCGTCAGCGCAATATGAGAATAAGAATCATATAAAAAAAACAATCCTACTGGGTATATTATTCTTTATCTCCGATGAAATCGAAGAAGAGTTTTTCTTTTTTTCTCTCTTGATGTAGTCTTATTCATTTTTACACTTGTGTATAAGTGCAATAGAACAACTGACTGATGAGATAATAGGAATTTATTGAACGCGTTTGATCAAATGATGCGTTATCATTTCCTGTTCTACAGGATCTGTTCTAATGAAAAAAGGACATTGGCTAGCTAAATGTATTTTCTCAAGTAAATTAGATTTTGATTTCTTCTAGTTAGCTTTTCATCGTCTAGTGAGTTGTTTTCCTATGCAGATTGCATTAATGAGAAGAAGAGAAATTCCATTGCAAGAAAAAAATTCGATTAAGTCGTTCCGCCTCCCGTTTGCTGGACATATGTGTCAATCAAATGTAAATAAGAGCGGATACATACAGAGCAAAAAAAGACAGTTTAAAAATAGTTCTTGATTGCATCATAACGAACCGGAAACACAAAAAAAAAAAGAAATTCAATTGTAAATGTATCAACTACAATTTTGATCGAACTACAAACGATAAAAAAAGAAAGAAAGAAAAGATTTCTTCTATTTTTTTTCCCTCAATTTATTGTAAGAAGAAAAAAAAAATCATTGATGATTGATTAGCCAGTCATCTGATTATATTAAATACAAACTTGTCAATTCTATCTTAATCCTATTTTCGAATACGACTAGCTTTTCAGATAATTCAAACCAATGAAAAAAATGCATTTTAGCATCTATAACTAAAATGAATTATAAATGATTTGGTAAAGTGAATGATTGAATTAATTATAAAGTCTTGTCTAGAATGAATTTAAATCAAACTATATCAATAAAAATAGACAGGACAATTTTAGTAACAAAAAAATATGCGATTTTGAAGACATTGACGAATATGTTAATATTTTCAGATTAAAATAATCGTATTTCTGTTTTCATTTATATTAATAGTCTTTCATTAACTATCAACGTATATTATATAACATATAATACCAAAAATAAATATTAACATTCAAGGTGAAATAGGTCAAATTTTTATTTGAACATGTTCGGAAAAAAAATTATATTTTTTTTAATTGATCATTTGTTTAAACAAATCTCTTACAATTCTTAATGATTCAATATCGTATAATCATACGAAATAAATTCTGCCAACATTGTAGAAATATAATCAATCCGATTTAGTTTGATTCTATTGAACAAGAAAATCATTGTTTAGTAGAGCCATCTGTGTAAAGAAAATGCTTCTCTATTTCCATTTGTTAACAGTGACAAGTAATTGAATCTATAATAATATGTTCGGATATATATTTTCGGTTGGTTAAAGGACTAACTACTTTGACCTGTTTTTTTATTCTTTTTTTTACATAAATCGATTTTCAGATGACTGAAATATATTCATTTGGCAATTTGCCTGTTATTGCACATGCATGGAATAAAGATCGAACACGTATGTTATATATTTTTTATTTATTTATTTTAACGATTCATAAGCTAAGAATATGAAATAAAATAGAAATTGCTGTATCATTGGGAAAAAATGATATACGTATATATCAAAAAGTATCTGGTAAATGGAAATTAATACATACATTATGTGAACATTTATCACGTGTATTAGCAATTGATTGGGCACCAAAAACGAATCAAATTGTTTCAGCTAGTGCTGTAAATATAAAATAAACACAAAAAATTCTTTTTATTTCTTTTGTTTTTTTTTTCATTAGGATTATAATGCATATGTTTGGACATTAGAAAATGATGTTTGGAAACCACAAATGGTAGAATTACAACGAACAAGTCGAGCTGTTTGTTGTGCTAAATGGTCACCAGAAGGTTTTTAATAATAATAAACCAAACAAACAAAAATTAAATTAATCTTTTTTTTTTTTTTTGCAATAGAAAATAAATTTGTTATTGGTTCAAGTGATAAAAATGTAGCTGTATGTTATTATGAAAAAGATCAACGATTTTGGGCAGCTGAAATGATTAAAAAAAAACCAAAATCAACTGTAACTTGTATTGCTTGGCATCCAAATAATCAATTAATTGCTGTTGGTAGTTGTGATTATCGATGCCGGTATGTTTTATTGAATATTTATTTCATTTGAAAACACATCAATTTTTTTTTTTCTTATAGAATTTATTCAGCTTTTATTAAAATTGTTGATGGTCAAGCACAAACATCAAATTGGGGAACGATTAAAAATACAGGCGAACTTTTGCATGAATTTCAATCAGGTTCATTAAAAATAGAAAAGAGTTTTTATCTTCTAATAAATTGAATTGATTTTAGAATCAGGTTGGATTCATGATGTAGCTTTTTCACCATTAGGTGATAATCTTGCATGGGTATCACATAATTCAATCATATTTGCTGTTTCAGCTAAGAATATATCTCAGTGAGTTTGAATATTATTGAAAAAAAAATTTTTTTACATATCAGACTTTCTGTTTTAGAATTATAATGGAAATAACAAATTATTTACCATTTCGTTGTGTTATTTTTGTCAATGAATCAATATTAATTGTTGGAGTATGTAAATATAAAAAAAAAACAAATTTTGTTTTCTTCTTATTGAATAGTTTTATTATAATTTATAAAGGGACATGAATTTTCTCCATTAATTTATAATTTTAATCAAGATAAAGGTACAATTGAATATGTTGAAAAACTTGATCGACAAGAAGTATCAACTGGTCGATTATCAATTGGGTTAGAATTTCATTTTTATCTTTCATATTTATATTTATATATATATATATTTTCTTCTTCTCGTGTTTGATACAGTCAAGATATAGATATTGTTACACCATATCAAGCATCGTATGAAAAAGAAAGAGTGTGTTTGCAGTGTTTTAAGCATGTTTTGAAGTGGATTTATAGTTGAACAATTCATTCTATTTGAGAATATATAAATGACTATTAACGAGAAAATAAATGCAAATTGTATTTTTATGGCAGAGTCTTTCGGGATAAACTTTTATATGGTTAGAACAAATTGACGTAGAGTATGTAGTGGCAGACATGAGTTTTGATCAGACGTATTTTTGAGATCTACTTCTTGATAGTAATAGCTACGAATCTGAAAAAAAAACCATTTGAGTAGCTGAGAAGCTTATCTATCAAGATTGGTAGACATAAAAACTACTCTGCAAAAACAGTTTTTTTGAAGTTCATTTGAAGATTTTTAGGAATGGTTTTATTTGATAGAACGAAATGAGATGTCTCGACCCTCTTTATGAGATTTCTTCATTGAACTAAATTCAATTTATAAAAATTTCAGAAGCGTTTTTCTTTTGGTGTTATGAAAAATTTCAATGATTTCACCATGTTTGACCCTGTGACTCATCTGTAAATTAAATGTAGTTCGACAAAAGAACATAGTGGAGAAAGTCAAGACATCCCATATTGCTCTATCGAATAAAAACATTTCCAAATTTTCCAGACATTCTCATTCAAACAATTTTATTGGAATTTTTAGATTCGGCAATTCTAATATGGAATCCTTTGAAATACTCAAAACTACAACTGCTCTATACTTTAGTTCGTTACTATATATGAATAGTACAAGAGTCGATGTTTAGCATATAAATAAAAAATTGAACTCGAGGATACAAACTGTTGATAGACCCGTGTGATATATTTTTTTTGATATATTCTTGAATAATATTTGCTAATAGGATCATTCTATGCCTTATCGGCCGCGTTTCCGAGTTTACTTTCTGACTTTTGGATTCTTCTTTTGCTTTTAAGCTTAGAGCTTCATAAGATTTTATACTAGCTCAATAGCATTAAAAAAAGAACTATAATCCGGCTATTAACGTAATTCAATATCACATACTTAACAAGAGAACGCGATTGATGAAACATAAAATGCTCCATTAAGAGATGTTGTTCAAGAATTTTCTAAAAGAGATCAGATGGGTATATTTTACAGTTAGTATCTTTTTACTAAATTTTCATTTGTATTATAAGCGTTTTATTCTTGTATAATCCATGTATATATACATGTATCAATGTGTTCGAATTATAAACTCTAGATTCTATATCAAAATTGCGATTCACAAGAATTTTGTCGTTGATAGTGAGCTTGAAGATTTTGATTACGGCAGACTCAACTGTGATCGAAAGTAAACATGTCAAAATTTAGAAATCCTTGTAAATCTTAGATAGAGAATTTTTTCGAAGCTGTGACAAATAGATTATACTATGCCATACATGTGTACACTATAAAAATGATGTCGATAGAAAGATTTATGGTCATTAAGAACTTGCATTTTTTATATTTTTACTTTCGACTAAAATTGAGGATGTCGTTGATCATCACATTGAATTACAGCATGACTATTTCCGGAAAATATGGCATTGGATTCTATAAGTAAATTTCCATGAATTATCCTAATTCAAAAGTCAACGATGATTATTTCTTTTGTGACATTTAAACAATGTCATACTATTCATACAATCTCTCATGTCACATTTTTCTCTTGAGTTTTGTTCTTTCCATTCAATATAAAACTGTCAATTACTAATGATTGATCTGCATCTTGTGCAAAGAACAATCTTAAAGAAATATTGAAGTATAGAGAGAGAATATTGGACCTATCCACAGACTTGACAGACACGTTAGAAACGAACCATCACAGACTGTATGTCACTAATATCTCGTTATAATATATGAACTCCTTCCTTATTGTATATCTAGATGAGTTAGTAAAAAGATCGTGAAAAACAAAATATCCTACAAATAGATAAAATAAAATAATCCCTATGCAATTAGCAAGATCTATTACATTGTGTTTTACATTTTAATCTCGCAAGGCTTATGCTAATCACTTTTGTTTTGTGTTTTATACAGTCGTCGGTTTGATCAACCAGCAATGCAAACACAAACACCTGAACCCATATCAACTCATCAAAGCATGATCACGTAAAATTAATTTTAATCTTTTTTTTTTTGTTCATTATTATTATTTATTTATTTAGGCAAATTGTTCCTTATCAAAGAGAGAATGGCAATCTAGTAAAAATAAGTTCAGCAGATTTATTTGGTCAAATAGTTATATGGAATTTGAATGACAAAGTAAATATTTACATATTGGACGATCCATAAGGAATGACGCTGTTAGAAATTTTTGAAATTTCTCCTCTATTATGTTCTTGATTAAAACACACTTTCTTATCAAAAGATAGCACTTGAAGTTTTACATAAAATGATAAACTTATATTTAACGAATATAGTCTTCTCCATGTAGTTTTGATTAAACGTAACATATAGTAAAATCAAATACAGAATTCAAAAAATTTTTCTATTGGAAGGATTATTTCGTCTATCAATGTTGACTTTGTTGTTATATGAGTCATGTAACATGACTCCAATTCATTCCATAAACTGTCACCTAATAGACATAAATCAGGTAAATTTGATGGCTAATGGCACTTCTGAATAAACGCATGAAAATGATCAGCACACTATTTTTCGCTCAGATAATATGTGAGATCCTGCATCATCTTACTTAGATGTTCAGTTATTTCCTAATATTTTGTTGCCGAATTTTAGAGCTATTAGAAGAGCTTCATTAACACATCTTTCGGCATTCATTTTTCTATCTTTCAAAATCATTGTTGCTGTCAGTCCTTGTCCACATGTCCTAACCACATCTTCACTTTAACTGAGAACATTTTTTCTCATAAGCAGCACCCTACTTGTTTGTCTCTTCTGTTTTCACAGTCCATACATGATCATTCTCAGAGAACGGCATTAACTTGGTCAAAAGAAGCAATATCGAAAAAAGTTTATTTTCAGATTCTCTACCAGCTAGATGAAAGCTTTTCATTGCAGACAAAAACGATGAGAATGTATGAAATATATTCAAGAATGAAACTAATGACAAGACAATATGTCTCTTCATGCAGATGGGTATCCGTGCCAGATGTGGGTGTGGATATGTATATCAGTTTTCTCTTTACATCTACTCCTACATTAGAGCTCATCGAGTTCGCATCCAACAAATTTTAATCAGTCGGATCCGGATCAAGGTTCTGAAATTCTTGTACCTGATGTTCTCTATTCTACACCCACACCTAATGTTTTTTTATCATTTTTATCCACATATTAATTGTTCACTTTGAAACCGTTCGGCATAAATCACAATAGACTTTTGCTGGTTCATTACCATTTTTCATATTTATTTCTTACAGATGTTTGTAAGTGTCTATACTTTTCAGCTTCTTTTAAACATATCCTTTAGATCCAATCGTATATGTCTTTATGGAGAATTTCAAAAATACTAACAGCACAATTCTTTATAGGTCACCCGATAGATTAATTTAATATATTTTAATTTTTTTGTAGAAAATAAAACAATGATGAATGATCAACAACAAATCTATTTTTTGCCTTGGTCTTAATAGTGTGCATTTGAAATTCTATTGATTGTGCAATCATGCTTGTGCTTTTTTTTTGTATTTTTTTTTATCCATTTATCGTTTTATTCTTCATATAATTGTTCATTTTTTTTTTAAAAAAAGGAGAAAAGCTGTTATAACTCCGTTTGATTTGTTGTGTATCTTATTAAAGTAATTTATCGATTGAAAAACATTACAGATTTCTATTGTTTGCTTTTTTTTTTCAGAAGAATAATGACAACGGTAAATAGTTCAAAAAAAATTTTTACATTGTATTAGACGAATTTCTATTGATCTATAGAAGGAAATTGTTATTGAAGCCGGACAAGAGTTACGTGGTGATGTAGATGAGACATTGACGGTTGAAGTGAGTGAATGTTTTTTTTTTTTTTTTACTTTGAAAATTCCATTTGATTTTGTTTATAGTTACGTTCGGGTAAGGCTGAAATATTCGGTACTGAACTCGCTATTGGTCAGAAATATCAATTTACATCTGGAATGAAATTTTCTATATTTACTTATTGGGGTTGTACTGTAAATGTATGTTGAAATCATTTGAATTATCATTGAAATAATTGAATAGATTTAGATCATATCATCACACGATGATTATTATGTTGCACGAGATGAAAATCCAACGCATATTTATTTAAATGTACATGGTATGTTGGAACAATTGAGACAAAAAGCTGAATCAGAAAAAACTCGTGGACCTCGTGTAAGAAAGAACGAGATTCAATAAGATATATTCGAAAATGAGCCGTTTTTTTTTTTAATAGATAATGGTAACCGGTTTACCTGATGTAGGCAAAAGTACATTATGTCGAATGCTTGTTAATTGGGCAGCTCGACTTGGTCGAACACCAATATTAGTTGATCTTGATGTTGGACAAAATCAAATATCTATTCCAGGAACAATTGGTAAAATAAAGTTTTGAAAATAATTTTAAATTCTTTTTATTTTTTTTTCAGCGGCTATGGTTATTCGTCGACCAGCTTCTGCTGAAGAAGGTTTTCGAATTGATATGCCACTTGTTTTTCATTATGGTTATAAAACACCCGGTGAAAATATTGGTTTATATAATGAAATAGTATCATCAATGGCTATGTATGTTAATATTCGATCGGAAAACGTCGAAAAATGTGAGAAAAAAAATTTCTTTCAATTGGTAAAAGTTGAAAAAAAAATTGAATTGTATCATAAAAGATGAGTGATTCGTTATTAGTATTAACATTCTTGGTTCAACAAGGAAAATCTTGCAACTAATTAATCGCTTTGGAGTCAAGACTATGTGCATCATGTAGATCGTAATGAGCTATGAATATCGCGAAGAAAGTTCACACCTTTGGTATGGATATGAGTCTTTTTGCATCCATCACACACCGACACCTACATTCACAGCTTCAAAATACTTTTCTTCTTGTTTCACTTTTCTATCAGAATTAATTTCTATATAACATCATGAAAATATGCGAATCTAAAAATGTTATTTTTGAAAAGAAATTTTAGTTCATATGCTTCTTTGTAGTAATTTGCTAATAGTAGCTTTTGTTTTTTTCTTTTTGTATTAGTTTAGCTTATTCATCTGGGTTTAAGTGTTTTTTAAAAATAGCTTTTGTTCTTTTATCATGCATTTCGTGACTATTTTTGCTTCTCTATCCCGATCAATGTAGCTACTCAACCATGACAGCCTTGTTTTAAATAAAACATATTTATTCAGTATCTAGTATATATAATAAATCGGTCAATTTAGTTATTACTTTTATTTTATGTCCATACTCGACGCATTAACAAGAACGTTATTTGCACAAAATAATTACTAGTTTTCGTAAGTGTTTCCTAATATAGACAACTTCTCTAATGTGAATACCATCGAGGTTGACAACAAGTGCTCACTTTACCAAGGTGATTATTATTGCAAGGTTTATTGTTTCTTGTTTTCCAACAATAAATTAATTTTATTGTTTTTAGTCAGAGATAAATCAACTCGTATTGACACGATTTGATGTTACTAGCATTTAAAAAAAACGAAGATATGTGACACTAAGCAGTATTGCTGTCGTCTAATATTGATTTTATTTTTTTTGTTAAATATTCACAGCTACTCAATTCATTTTTCTTTGTGTCCGATGATTGTTTAGAATAACACAAAATACATAATACCATTTTTTTCTCGTTCTACACGTGAATGATACACATATTGTGCTCACATTACAAGGAATGTTATTGCTTATCAGACCGTTAATAAACAAGTGCTCATATTTGAGACACACATGCCTAGCAAAGTTAGTTCGAACGGACTATAGATTGCTTAGTCTATGGAGATACTCACATAGAGAGGTTTTATTGTATGGAAGTTATGCTTTAATATTGAAGATGTAAAAAAGAAAATAAGAAAAGTTTTCTGTAGGGCCTTACATTTAGATGTCGACTCCGTCGGAGTTACATTATCAAAACAGTCAAGCATTTGTACTCTTACATAGCATAAGTAATGAACAAAATATATTACTTTATGAATCGATAAGTTTCAAGAAAAAAAAAATACTTCGAGAGAAATTCTCATTAATTCGTAGCACATAAAGAATTAAAATAGTGACTTGAATAGAGATAACTGTTTCCAATAAGAACTTGAAGGAAATAAAATTTTTACAGTATTCTCCAAGTCTAGGATAGCTATAAAAATTCCAAACCTAGTTTTTCAGCATCCAGAATCCAACAAGTAGAGCAACTGGTTCTCTACAAAAAGAAGCACCAAAGCCCTTCTAGTCCAGTTTTCCCTTAAAAAGAATGACGAAAAAGACAATTTTAGGCATTTCTTAATATTGATATAGGTTTCATAAAAAACATCATCGAATGTTTGGAAATGTGTCATTTTATAGAGACTTGCTCTGTCAGTCATTTAATCCAAAAAAGTTTATATGTGTAGGTTCTGGAAACCGAAAAACTAAGTATAGATTTTTTTTAGACATTCTGAATTTTGTGAAGACTTTATTTCTCTTAAATTCTTTGTTGGAAACAATTGTCTATATTCAAGCCACTATTTTGAATCTTTATGCGAGTTACCATTACGAAAAAATGAAATGATGAATTTTTTGGTGTTCCTTTCTACGCCTCTCAAAGAATAATTTCCGGAATCGAAAAATCTTGAGTCTACAGAACTCTAGTTTTCTTCAATATCAAAGTAGCTTTATTTGAAATAGGATTATCATATCTATTATGTATAAAGCTCAAAATTTTGTGTAAACAAGGTAACAGAAGATCTAGAAAATATTTTTGTTTTGTCATATTTTCGAAGTTTGAAATTTTAATGCAAAGAGTTTCGCATCAAGTTTTGTTATAAGAGAAGAAAAAAAGAGACAGTTCGTTTTCTTTGAAAAACGAAGGCCGATTGAATAATAAAATTTACAACCTTTTTTTTTCTAGCTCTTATCAGCGGTGTTGTTGTTAATACTTGTGGTTATATTCGTCAGGAAGGTTATGAATCTTTTAAACATGTTGCTAAAACTTTTGATGGTAAATATGTTTTATCAAAGAAAAAAGAAAACATTTTTTTCATTTATTTATTTTTTACTAGTTGATATAATAATTGTTCTTGATAGTGAATGGTTAGCAACAAAACTAGTATCAGATTTGCCTTCGGTTAAAGTTATAACATTACCAAAATCAGGCGGAGTAAATTTATCTTTTAAGAAACAAAAGAATTTTCTAATGATTTTATCAATAGGTTGTACCAAAAGATGCAGCTAAAGATAAATTTCGTGAAAATAAAATTCGTGAATATTTTTATGGACCAAAAAATAATATTTGCCCACATGTATTTACAATGGAATTTAATGAAATTAAAATTTATAAAATCGGTGCACCACAAATACCTGATTCATGTTTACCAGCTGGTATGATTTTAAAAAATCCATATAATAAAATCTTACCAATAGCTCCAAGTAAAAAAATAAAATAGATAAAAAAATAAAATTTTATATTTTTCGATTTTTGATTTTTCTAAAGGTCCAGCTTTAGTACATCATGTTTTATCAGTTAGTAGTTCAAATGATCCTGAACAATTGCTAACAAAAAATATACTTGGTTTTGTTGTTGTGTAAGTTATACGAGAGAAAAGAAAAAATTTTTATATGAAATTTTGTTTTTTTAGTCAACATGTGGATTCAGATAAACGTACATTAACACTTCTTTCACCACAACCTAACGTGAAAAATAAACTTCTCATTGTATCCGATATACTATTTGTTGATATGAAATGATATCTTTCTTTATGTGTATAAAAAAAAAAATCAATAAAAAAAAAATAGAAAAAAAAGGGAAATTGATGATTACTTTAAGTTTATTCAGGAGCTTAAGAAAATAAAATGACTTTTTCTTTTTTTTCTTTCTTTATAGATTTTAAATCATCATTTACGATTTTATTTTCGACATTTTACTTTTTTTGTGTCAATGTTCTGTGTCTGATGTATTTTATATGCTTTCTGTTTTTTTTTGGCAAGAAAATAGGAAAGCAAGTGTATTTGATCTAGTCAACACTAGCATATTTATTATCATGCGTTCTATTGGTTCTATTCACATAGTTAAAAGACAGACAGAAAAAAAAATCATTGTCGTCTTCTGTTTTGAACGTTGACATCTATTGAAAAATGAGCCCGTGCAGTAAAAACAAGGTCAATAAATGTTTTCAAGTACGTAACCAAAAGCATGCCGTTGCGCTAAGCACGTTCGTTTAATCATTATTATATTCTATTGATTTAGTAAAAAAAACTAAAAAAGCTTCACATCTGTCACACATATAAAAGCAGCTTTTCAATTTATTTTTCCTATACAATAAATATGTCACAATATTTTTCTTTCTTCTTTTAGATGTTATAGTTTTTCATCGTCGATAACTCTCGAAGATTATTTAAAGAGACCAAAAAAAGAGACACTTCTCCAACATTAAATTTTTTAGTTTAGGAAATAAAAAATTATTGAAAGCAGACAACTGGACTCATCAAAATTACTTGAATTTAACTCTTCATCGAGCATTTCCAGCTCACTTGAAGATCATCAATCTTCAAATATATCAAATCATAAGCAAAATGATTCACCGATATTAAATGGTATTATGGCATTTATTAATTCTGATGCTGCCTGCCGTGTAACAACGCAAGAAGTAATAAACATTTTACATAGCGATCCTAAATTAGGTTTAAATGAAAATGAAATATCAAAACGACGTCAATATTATGGTCATAATGATTTTGAAGTTGATGACGATGAACCTATATGGAAAAAATATTTAGGACAATTTAAAGAACCAATGATATTATTATTACTTGCATCAGCATTCATATCATTATTATTAAAACAATATGATGATGCATTATCAATAACAATAGCTATTATTATTGTTGTTACAGTTGCATTTATACAAGAAAATAGAGCTGAAAAAGAAATTGAAGCTTTAAAAAAACTTGTACCACCTAAATGTACATGTATACGTGAAGGAAAAAGTCTACAAATATATGCAAGAGATTTAGTACCAGGAGATTTATGCATATTAGATATTGGTGATCGTATACCGGCTGATTTACGTTTAACTGAAGCAAATGATATATCAGTTGATGAATCATCATTTACAGGTGAAACAAAACCATCAGTTAAAACTATTGAGCCACTCGTTATTGGCTCAAAACAAACGTCTATTAGTGACAGAAAAAATATCGCATTTATGGGTACACATGTGCTTAATGGAAATGCTAAAGTAAATTTTTTAATATTGTTTAAAAAATATTTATTGAGATTTCTTTACAAGGGTATTGTGATATGTACAGGTGAAAATTCAGAATTTGGTAAAGTGTTTCAAATGATGCAACAACAAGAAGTAAAATATAAACATAAATTTTCTTTAATATACAAAAGTTTTGTTTTTTAATTTAGGCACCTAAAACACCATTACAAAAGAGTATGGATGCGCTTGGAAAACAACTTTCGTTTTATTCATTAAGTATCATTGGTTTTATTGTTGTTGTTGGATGGTTACAAGGACGACATCTTCTTGAAATGTTTACTATCGGTGTTAGGTATATTCAAAGTTTTACTTATAGAAAACAACCCTTAAGATCTATTTATTTATATCGGTGATAACATCCGTTATAGTTGCAAATAGCAAGAATAAAGTCCTTGATGTTTTTTGCAGTTATCGAAAATTTGAATAAACGTAGATTGATTGGTTGGTTCATATATGTGACTTGAAAAGAATTCGATAAAAAGGCTTTGTAGAAATATGTCGGAGTTTTCTCTAACAAAAAAAAATATTCAACAAACAAGGCTCAAAAATAGCTCATTTGTATTCTGTGAGTCCTCATTCTGTAGATTAAAAATTTTTTTCATTTGAAAGAGTGTGTCAGACTACAATGTTTGACAGAGCCCTCGTTTCTTAAAATCGTGAGTTTTCATGCCGAGTAAAAGAATGAGAAATTCAATATCTTGAGAAACTCTTTAAAAAATGGTAATCTATTTATAGAAGTGGTTGTTTTTAATTTAATAATAAAAAAGTTCAATTTACAAAATGGATTCTACGAGGTATTGCAAATTTACATGTTCTTTCCAACAGAAAAAAAAATCAATTGAATACAATGATGCTTCTTCGAGAATTTTCAACTGAGCAATCAGAATAGCATAAACATAGCAAAAGAATTTTTGATTTTTCTGACGAAAGTTGACTTTTTTATGTACACAAAAGATCCTCAGTTCAACCCGCGACGAATTATTCGGTCACTACCGAAAACTTATAATTCAAAAATGAATTGCTATTTTATTATTTTAGTTTGGCAGTAGCAGCTATTCCTGAAGGTCTACCCATTGTTGTTACCGTAACATTAGCACTTGGTGTCCAACGTATGGCAAAACGAGAAGCAATAGTTAAAAAGTTACCTATTGTTGAAACACTCGGTTGAGTATATTTGTTAATTAATCTATATATTAATAAGTATATATATTATTATATTGTAGGTTGTGTAACAGTAGTATGTTCGGATAAAACAGGAACATTAACAAAAAATGAAATGACTGTTACGAATATTTTAACATCCGATGGACAAATTGCTGAAGTTTGTATTACAAAAAAACAAAAGATATATATCTATATATTATATTACTTATTGTTAGGTTACTGGTTCAGGTTATAACAGTGAAGGTGATGTTTTATGTGGTTCAGAACGAATTACATATGATTCACATCCTTCAATTTCAAAAATAGTCGAAGTAAAGTTTTTCTATCTCTTATATAAATACTTAAATAAATGATTTTTAATAAGGTTGGTGCTGTTTGTAATAATGCTGAAATCGTTAATTTTCAACTTCGTGGTCAACCAACTGAAGGTGCTTTACTTGCTGTTGCTATGAAAGTAATTATTATTATTATTAATCATTATTTCAAATGAATGAGTATTGTTTGTTCTTTGTTTTTTTTTCTAATAGATGAATCTTCCTCATCTTCGTGAACAATTTCATCGTGAACATGAATGGCCATTTACACATGAAAATAAATGGATGGCTGTTGAATGTAAACCAAAATATAATCCTGTATGTCTTATCATTGATTTTATTTTTCGAATTATTTTGTTATGATTTTTTTTCTTTATCATAGAATGAAACACATGTATATTTTAAAGGAGCTATCGAACAAGTATTAAAAATATGTAAAAATTTTATATATCATGGAACAACAATACCACTAACTGATGAAAAAGTACGAGAATTTCTTGTTGATGCAAATCAAATGGCAGCTAAAGGATTAAGAGGTATGCATATATTGACTAGTTTAGGCAAAATGGGACAAACCCATCTTTCACTTAACTTTTACTCTTTACGAGAGTTGTTTTTGCTGAGTAAGCTCTTTTATAGCATAGACATATGTGGGAATGTTGGCTCTTTCAGCTGTGGAGTTCGTCGGATTGATCCCGAACCCGATGGGCTCTGCTTATCTGACAAATCCGTAGGGTATGCTAGCCACTGAAAAAAAAGTATCTCGTATCTGTGGGGCAACTATCCGATTACAGAATTCAGCCAATTCAGGTTCGAAAATTGTCGACTTAACGGCTCTGCGCTGTCGGCTACTAATTAAAAAGTAATTATTGAATATATTTCTAAATCCAGAAACTTCAGGATACACTTTACGGCATGAGTCGTATGTATGGCGAAACTTTCAGCAAGTTTGAACTCCAAAAAAAAAGTCGTTTTTCTAAAGATCTTATCAAGTTCCGCAATAAAAAGTTTTTTTGTTACATCATCTAGAGATTCTGAAGAAGGGTTTGTATTGTTTGACATCGGTTTTGAACTTTTCATTCCATTATAGAACATTTTTTTGTACTCCATCTCGCCGCTAACGAAAAGTAAATTGATGCTTTTGAGAAATTTAGGCACGCTCGAAAAAAACTTTGGGTAGAAATTTTGTAGTCCTAGGAATTTTCTACGCAATATTCTATTTAGTTTTTAAAACTAATATGCATGAAGTGAAAGTCGATGTTCGTCTTAACATAAGTTTTCTTTTTTACTGATAACTCCTCTGAACAAAAGTCTTTAATGCTGATTTTTTTTCAGAGTATCTGTAGTAACTAAACATACATGTAATAGATAAAAAATTATGTTCGTATATGTTATCTAATTTAGAAATATTAATTTTAAAAAGTTTGTTTTTATTTATAGTTCTTGCAATGGCTACTGGAGCATCACTTGATGATTTAATATACGTTGGTATGGTTGGAATTATTGATCCAGAACGACCACAAGTTGAACAAGCTGTGTCACAATTAAAAGCAGGTGGTGTTCTCGTTAAAATGATAACAGGTGATGCTGAAAAAACTGCAAAAGCAATAGGTAATGAAAGTTTATTTCGTAATAAAATTTGAAGTTTTTAAGTTGTTTAGCTTCTCGTTTAAAAATCTATAATAATACTGATTTAAGTATATCTGGAGAAGATCTTGAACGTATGAATGCATCTGAACTTGATATTGCTGTTTCAAAAGCATCGATTTTTTATCGTGTTAGTCCAATACATAAATTAACTATTGTTAAAGTAAATTTAAAAACTAAACATTTGAAATTTATTCTTTTTAATATTTGTTCTTATTTTTTTTAAAGACTTTACAAGCACAAGGACATATCGTTGCCATGACAGGTGATGGTGTTAACGATGCAGTCGCATTGAAAGCAGCTGATATTGGTATTGCTATGGGAAAAACTGGAACTGATGTTTGTAAAGAAGCAGCAGATATGATTCTTGTTAAAGATGATTTTTATACGATAATGTAAGATTTAAGTTAAAATAATGATTTATAAGTTTATGAAACTATTTTGATTATAGGACAGCAATTGAAGAAGGTAAAGCAATATTTCATAATATAAGAAATTTTGTTCGATTTCAATTAAGCACGTATGCAGATTTCTTATAAAAGAATTTATTTAATTAATTGAAGATTTCTGTTTTTTTTTCAAAGGAGTATTGCTGCTTTAAGTTTAATAACGCTTTCAACTGTTTTTCATTTTCCAAATCCATTAAATGCTATGCAAATTCTTTGGATTAATATTATTATGGATGGACCTCCTGCTCAAAGGTTTGTTGACTATTCATGAAAACAACTTTATATATATTAACGCTCAATCTCAGATCCGCTTAGGTCAATCTCGAATTAGAGATTAAGTATATTGCATTCGTAGGAGTACAGCGAAGATAACAAGGACATCTACACTCTTCATTGCTTTGTTTGAAGTATTTGCTTATGACTAGATATTATGATCTGTTGAAACTAAAATTTCATGTGCCATGATTAACTTTTACTTTAAAGTTATATGCTAATCATCGATTCGAGATTAATCTAGGCGAGTCCGAAATTGGACACTAACATGTAGAAAATTAATTTTAGTCTTGGTGTTGAACCAGTTGATCATGATGTACTAAAAAAACCACCGAGAAAAGTAACTGATTCAATGATTGATAAACGATTAATTATTAATATAATTACAAGTGCAATTGTTATTGTTATTGGAACTTTATGTGTTTTTTATGCTGAAGTATGTAAAGAATGAGTTTTTCATAAGTAAAATAAATTATTTAGATGCGTGATGGAAAAGTAACACCAAGAGATACAACAATGACATTTACATGTTTCGTCTTTTTTGATATGTTTAATGCACTTAGTTGTCGATCACAAGTAATGATTTAATTTTGTCTGAATACATTAAATAAAAACAAAAACGAATTTTTTCTTTGTTGTTTTTTTAGACGAAATTTATTTTTGAAATAGGTTTTTTCTCTAATCGAGTTTTTCTTATTGCTGTCTTACTTTCAATAATTGGTCAACTGGCTGTTATTTATTTACCACCATTACAATATGTTTTTCAAACGGAAGCATTAAGTTTATCAGGTAGGTAAACAATAAAAACAAAAAAATAGTGATTAAATACTAAACGTGTAATAATATACTAATATCAATGTTTGGAATTAATAATGAGAACAGAATCAAACGAACTACGTAATTGAAATATGAGATATAAACGAATTCCTAGTTATATCTATTCGTCTTTTTAATATTTATTTAATGTGATATATTTCTTAATCATACCTGAATCTATCAGTGTAAAAATTAAATCTTTACGGATTTGCTCTAAAAAAATGAGAGTCTTAATATTTTCTCAATTGGTGTTATAGGGATACCAACAAAAAAGTTATTGTGGTAATACTACGAACATGCAGTATCCATAGCTTTCAAGTTTGAAATATCTTTCACTTTTAGAGCTAAAGGCGATTATAAGGTTTCGACTACAGAACAGCATATATGTAGTCAAGAATAATCGAAAAATTTATACTTACTTTTGCTTATATAGCTCTGCATGAGAAAACATAAATACAAAACAAAGGTAGTTGATCGTTGAAAGTTGTTCATATTACATGTTAGTAGTGTTACTATAATAAATATTTTTATTTTTATCCTTATGATACTTATTTGTATATAAATTCGTAGAGAATCAAATGCTAAAACTTTTGAAAAAAATCGAATCTATGAAAATTGAAAAGAGTATCAGAGATGCTCGACGCAACAGCGCCGCCATTGACATCTATGAAGAATATTTGAGATCTTCATTCTTTATGGTCCACTCATTATAAAAGTATTAAAATGTATTTCTTCTAACATTGCATGTTTTCTGTTTAGATTTATTCTACTTGTTATGTCTTACTTCATCTGTATTTCTTGTCAGCGAAATACGAAAGTTAATCGAAAGATTATTCATCAAACGTCAAGACAATCGTAAACACATACCAAACAATCCTTGGATGGTTTAAATATATATATGTACAGATAAAAAAGAGTATTTATTTTCAGAAACAAGACAACATTTTTCTGACAAAAGCGTTTCTCATCGTATTTAATACGTATCTCTAACGAAATTTTCTGTGCTGCAAGTTTGTCTTCTATTGCATGATGCTTTTTTTTTCGTTTTAATTTATTTCTCTTTTTTTTTTGTTATTTATTGAGATATATTGCCGTATTATTGTTTTCTAATGACACAATGATAATAATAATTACTATTTCTCGATGGGATAATTTATTGAACATATTAAAATAATTAAGAATATTTAATTAATTACTAAACAAGCGAATAAATAAAAGCCCGTATAAAGCTTTGCACGTATTTTATTATTATCTGAGAGTTTTGTATTGATACTTTTATACTCTTGATGAATAACATATTATTGATAATCAAATATTTATACTAGAAGTTTTCTTTGCATTAATTTTAATAATAACAATCCTTTGGTCTTAATTTCACGTCGAAATTTTGATGCTTTTTTTCTGTTCTATTGTTACTATCAATAAACAATATTTATTTTATATTAAGACTATGATCATATAGAGACCATGATTTGCTACAAGCTTCCCCCCCCCCACCCTCTACTCCTTTTAAAAGGAAGCAGCTGGTAACTAAATAGAAGTAACGACTCGTTTTATGTGTCGGTGACACTTGTCTTATTCTGATTCTTTTTAATATCAACGTTATATTTGTTTCTTCTTTGAATATTTTAACATAGTAGGTATAGTTTATCAATATTGAATTATATGGATGTTTTACTAACGATGACATTGTGCATGATAACTATGAGATAAGATGTTCAAAACAAGAAATATACTTTCTCATTGATATTGGAACAGCTTATTAACAACGATCCTTTGCCAAAGGGACCTCTACATTATATTTTTCATCAACATAATTATCGAGAACAACACTTGTAGACTTCGTGATCAAAGTATTTGATAGATATTAAAGATATTATTTTTGTGAAACACGATCAAAAAGAAATGTTGAATTGTATAGAGTATACAAGTAATTAAACAAACCATTATTCAACCTGAATTTCAAACCAAAGAATTATAAAACAAAACGATAAATATTCATTTTGCTAAAAGTTCTAATGAAAAATAACCGTTGAACGCTGTATTTCATATTAACATCAATATAAAAACCTGTTGTTTGACTAGCTTCAAGAGTCTTGTAGGAGAAACTTTTTTTCGAATCCCAAATCTCGTTCTATTGTCAAAATGTTCCGCAGGACTCTACTACCTTCAGGTTAATAATAGATAACAACCAATATCAAAAGAAATTAATAATACTTCTAGAATGAGCTATTCTATGGATTCATCGATTTTTAATATAGTATTCTAATACAGGAAATAAATTATTAAGTTAACTAGACCAAAAAAGAAAACTTCAAAGACTATCCTTTCGACTTTCATAGATAACCAATACAAATGACTTTATAAAGAATTTCGTCAAGAACTAAAAGGTGTTCCATAAATTTCGACTTCTTTGTATTTTTCTTTGTATCTTGGTCGTATATGAAAGTGAATGCATATTGAATATTTATATTTGAAGAGTAATATATCACCTATCATCCGAAAGAAATTAGACTTGATTGGCATCAACTCAAAGAAAGTACTGCATTGGTAATGATGTAAAAAAAATGTTATCAAATTTATTTTTTCGACGTAGCTAAACGTTACGGAATTTTATTTTTTGTCTTTTGGCGAGCAGTTTCTTCATTAAAAGAAAAGCAAATACACGGAAGTTTTTATTACAGATGGGCTTCGGTTATATCTACCCATTCATGAATATGTCAGGCATTTTGGTACAGCTAAAATAGAGTTATTCTCGAAATACTAGCAATTATGTAGTTTTAGTATTTTAAGATTCTGTAGTAGTCGCTATTTCGAGAATAACTCTGCTTTTGCTGTATCGAAATCAATAAAATTTTCATAGTTAATAGATGTAATTGACATATCTACAATAAAAATTTCAGGATATTTGCTTTTCTCCTAATGGAGATACTACTCACCAAAGACAAAAAAAAATGAAACTCCGTAATGTTTGATTATGTCGAAAAATAACTTTGATAACATTTTTTCTACATTATTACCAATGAAATAGCTTCTTTGAGTTGATACCAATTGAGTCTAATTTCTCTTCGATGATAGGTGATATATATTACTCTTCAAATACATGCTTAATATTCATCCATCTTCAGACACGACCAAGATACAAAAAAAAATAAAATAAAATAAAAAGAAGTTGAAACAGTTGTAACATCCTTTATCTAATACCCAGTAATCCTTAATGTGTTCATCTAAACATTAAACACAGTTTATTAATCATAAGAATCTTAAAGGGTATTCCATAATAACTGACGATAAATTGTTAATAATATTTTTCATACTTTTTCTTAATGTAGAGGGCTGAATTTTTTATCGCATATATATATATATATCTAACGAAGATCTTTTATTTTTGAAAGTTTCAGCTTTGTAGCTAAAACTATTGGTGCAATGTATCGACAAGATTGAAATACATACATTTTCGAAAGTGATTTTTTAATACTTTTTACTGTGGAAATAGTACCAGGTAGTTCCGTGAGTAGTCAATCAAAAAATCACAAGATATTCAGAAAACTTTCTTTCGTATCAAACTTAGTAGAGCTTTTTTCGGTGATCATTTTGGTAAAAAAAAATTTCGAATTTCATTGAGAAATGACAATGTTATAGACAAAATACTAAACACTGTAAAATATAAGTAAAAGTCAATTCATATATCTCAAAATGGTTATATTCTGGAGACATGTGATATAGTAGGTTTTCAAGAGGAAACTTTGCTCTACAAAACCCTATAGTTAGTTTCTTAAATACAGACGAATATGATGAATAAATCTCGATTAAATATTGTATACGATATTCCTATCAAAAAAAAATCTGACATCTTCTGTTTTTACGATAAATATTTTCACTACAACACTGTCATTTCTCAATGAAATTCGAAAAGTTTTTTTTTAACAAAATCATCAGCGGAAAAAGTTCTACAAAGTTGGATATGAAAGAAAATTTTCTGAATAGTTTGTGATTTTTTGGTTGACTACCCACGGAACTATCTTGCAATATTCAGTACGAAAATTTATCTATTTCAATCTTGTCGATGCATTTCGCTACTAGCTTTAGTTAGAAAGCTGAAACATTCAGAAATGGAAGATGATGATTAGATGTATATTTGATAAAAATTTCAGTTCTCTAGATCAATAAAAAGTGTAAAAAATATCAAAAACAATTTATCGTCAGTTATTATGAAACACCATTGATGTATAAGAAAAATATTACATAAAATTAGGAAACTCTATCAAAAATAATTTTTATCTTTATTTAGTGAGGATATAAATAAACATATATTTATTAGTTAAAGAAACACTATGAATGAACATTTCTTTCGTCTGTTTTGAAATTCATTTGGTGTATTTTAAACAGTCATGTAGTCAAATCTAGTTTGAATAGTTCGTCAAATACTGATATCAACATATGTAAATTCCGCTATCTTTAAAGGTCATTCTATTAAGCTGGAATTGTGAATCAACAGCAGCGACAATGCTAAGCAGCATTTTGAAATTAAAACATACCATTTGTCAAATATTAAATGAAGAAAAAGATTGTGCATCTATTTTTTTTGGAGTTGGAAGTCCTGTAGGAAGGCAAAGTAAAAGAAATACTTTTGCTTCTGTTCTTTCTTCGTAGATAGAGGCTACTCTTGAGTATTAGAGATAAGAGTAACTGATTCTTTACTATTTACTTGTGCATTTTTTTTCGACGATTCAAGAATAACAAATTCAGCTAATTGAAGGACATCTTAACTGCTTTTGATTATACTTTTAATAGTCACATAAAAAAAAGTATTTTAAGATATCAATCTTGGAAAAAGTATTGGGAAGACGATCTTCAATAAGGTAAATAAATCACAGTATATTTGCTGTTTTTGATTACTTGATAAATTTTCAAGGTCGTCATGATCTAGTTGTTTTTAACTGTTTCGCAACTGAGGTTCTATTTATGGGACACTGGCGTTTTTCCTTTGATTTAAACATCAAATCGTAGTCGAAATATAGTCTGACATTAGTATCTTAGAAGTTATGTTTATTATGAAGAGAAACAGACTGAGACTGACAAAAGTTTCACAATAACAACGTACTTTTAATACAAAACTTCTATTATCTCTGAAAAATTTTCAAAAAAATAAGCTTTTTCATATAGTGAAATACTTCAAAATAAAAATTATATTATAAGGTATGAAGGTCATTGACTGATAGAACTTCTAGCAATGGGAGAGATGTCTTTAACTTTTTAAGAAATCCTGAGTTTTTACAAACCTTGACAAAGATAGTGGGTGGGTTGATTCGAATCANAAAAAAAATATTGGGTATATCTTGAACTGGGTGAAAGTTATTTCAATTTTTCTAATCGGAAACCATGTTCTGAGAAAAACGCTAAAGAAGTTTTAGAAATGGATTTTTCATTCAAATGCAGGAAATAATGGTATATTGATAATATTCATATGGAATTTTTGAAAGCACGCAATGGATGGCGTAAGCTAGCACTACAGGCCGTACTATATGATATAAGAATGTTTATTCCATGCTGATAGAAGTAAAAAAAGTAGTCTTCCCAAAAATTACAAAAACCGCGAAAATCTCTCCGAAAACCGGGTAGTGAGGTGGAAATCTCCTACGAAAACCTGTACAAATTTGACCTTTTTTTAAAACTTTATATATATTCTGAAAGAGGAAACTTCGCTGCATCTTCCTACGATAAAAACTCGACTTCGATTATTTTACCAAAAAATGAAAGAACCCCGCCGGATTTCATGACCCATCTCGGATCAGATTGCCATATACATGGTTTTGTAGAGCTCGTTGAGGCGCATCGAATGGTATATAAGAAAACAAGTTTTCATCATACTTTGATGTCCTGAGGGCCCTGACAGTGGTTATGGCACTTAACGTGTATTATATGGTACCCATAGACATTATGGTCCTTAGTATGTCTTAAGATAAGGCTAAGCAAATTCTTTTTTAAAACTCTTTTCAACAGAGTTCTCAGTAGTCTTCAATTTTCTATATTCATTAGTATTCCTCGTTGCTGTCTCCCTACATAAAAAATAGCCACTTTCGATCGGCCTAGGATATTTATTGATTATAAGGCATTCCGTGTCATCAACCCTGTCCCATAGAACAAATGGGTACCAACGTGAAACCTTCTCAAAAACTGCCTATTATCTAGCTCTATATATTTCACAGTTAACTTCTTTGGTTACTGCAAGGCCCATTGTCAGATTGCCAATTTACCTCTTAAAAAGACCTATTTTTCTATCCAAAGGGGCCAATATATTGACGATTTTATTAACAATATCAAACATTTCATAGGAAAATTTTTATGTATCGAGAATCAGCACTAGGTTCCTGATTAATTAATATAGAAAATATCTTTCAAGAAGGAAAAAATTTTTTTGACCTCTGGACCCCTAGACAGGGGTACGGGAATGAGCTTATAACAAAGAGATCTGTGTTTTCATTAATTCCTTTACAAACTTTTATTCCGAGTATCTAGGTTTGATATGTATATGAAACTGTATAAGAATATACGGATACCCGATGTTTATTCGAAAAATTAATTTTTTCCAAATTCCCGTACCCCCCTCCAGGGGTCCAGAGGTCAAAAATTTTTTTCCTTTTTGAAAGATATTTTTTATATTAGCTAATGAGGAACCTAGTGCTGATTCTCGATACATAAAAATTTTCCTATGAAATGTTTGATATTGTTAATAAAATCGTCAATATATTGGCCCCTTTGGATAGAAAAATAGGTCTTTTTAGGAGATAAATTGGCAATCTGACAATGGGCCGTGCAGTAACCAAAGAAGTTAACTGTGAAATATATAGAGCTCGAGAATAGACAGTTTTTGAGAAAGTTTCATGTTGGTACCCATTTGTTCTGTGGCACAGGGTTGACGACACGGGAATGCCTTATAATCAACAAATAGCCTAGGCCTATCGAAAGTGACTATTTTTATGTAGGAAGACAGCACCGATGAATACTAATGAAAATAGAAAATTGAAGAGTACCTAGAACTCTATTGAAAAGAGTTTTAAAAAAGAATTTACATAGCTTTGTCTTAAGACATACTAAACACCACACTGTCTATGGGTACCATATAATACCCGTTAAGTGCCATAACCAGTGTCAGGACCCTCAGGACGTCAAAGTCTGATGAAAACTTGTTTTCTTATATACCATTCGATGCGCCTCAACGAGCTCTACAAAACGATATATATGGTAATCTGATTCGAGATGGTTCATGAAATCCGGCGGGGTCCTTTGAAGGAATTGTTCGTTATAAACTGATGGTATTAACTACCGTGTCTTGCAAAATGTGAAAGTCAACAAATAAATTGAAAAAATACAATTTAATTTTAATTGAAATTCACTGTAAACTTTGATTTTATATAATATTCATTAAACGTTACATAAAAAAACAATTTCTTTGGAAAAGAAAAACGTTCTATTTTTGAAAGCTACAATTAATTAATTACGTTTCTGTATCGGTTTTTGTTGACATTAAATTTCCATAGAATAAAATAAAAACATATTAGTCGTCTTCTCCATAATCAGCAAGAATAGGTTCATAAGCGAATAAATTTGAATACGAACATATTTCAATAGGATCAAGTTGAACGTCAATTGGCATTTCGTACCATTGTTGTAACGCTTCGTTGAATCGATTTAAAATATCTTGATTCGGTATATCTTTATATTGATAAGCTAATGGTATATAGAATGATGTACAATGTTTAGTAATTAATTTCGGAAAATTATTATTCCATCGTTTTTGCAAATTTTTAATATAACCATCAATGTATTTATTGTTTAATTCAATTTGCAAACGTATTTCATTTTTTTCAATAAGTAATAATTTTTTACCGACACATTTTATATATGGATTATTTTTATCAAGTAACTCTTGTTCTTCTTCTAATTTTTGTAATTGACTTTCTTTTATAGATAGAGTATTTGTCAATCTAGTTAATGTTATATGATAAGAGTCTTCAGGAACTAATATAAAATAATCCTTTAATTCTTTGTTTTCATTAAGATACGTATATAAATCATGAATTCTTTGTAATGAAGGATTTGCAACAGACTGAAGAATTTTGTAGCCCGATACTGGAATCAAACCACCATGTATAGTTGTATATTTATTGTATGGTTTAATAGGATCAGTTGAATCATAAAACTCAAAATAACCTTGATAATAATAACGGTATACTCCAAATACAATATAAATAAATATTAGCGTTGTACATGAACCGTAAACAGTACGACGAATTATGTGTGCTCGTGACAACATTTTTTGTTTTATGGTGAGCTTTCTCAACATGTATTTTTTTATACGACATAAGTGAAAAAAAGGTGAAATGTTACGCACTAATGATTTTTTTTTTCGCACGAAATACACAGTTGAAGTCATAAAATGATGACGGTGATTGAAAGAATGATAGCAGTTTAGAGTAGAAGTATATTTATTCTTTTTGCTCGTGTAATTTTTTTCCTATGTTAATGTTAATTGATTTTTATCGATTAAGAAATGTGTTACAATATTTTTGAATACATATTAATATTTTATTTAGAGGAGTTTCTTACATAAAAATTTGTGTTAATATAATTGAATGTGAGATATATTGAGAGAATCATTATGATGATTTTTAATAAATAAAATAAGACTTCAGCTAAAAACAAATTTCAGGATAAGTAATCGAATTAATAACTTGTTTATTTCGGTAAAGTGATGCAGAAAAAAAGTAGTACTCTTATGTATCGTGCCGCTTAGTTTATGAAGCTGCGGGTTCGAGTTTAGTCTTGTAAAATATCGATCCGTAGCTTTCTGCTCAGTAGATATCGACCAGCATTATAAATCTATTGTGCAGGATTTCTAAAAGTGATATTATTAATTCTTTTGAATGGTCGACAATTAAGTACTGCAACTTTAATTTCTTTCTGAACTCGATCTGGAATACCTGGTTCATTTATTTAAAATGTACAAAATTGATTAATACTTATTTTAGCATTAAAAACTCTCGTTTTTTATTTTGTCAATTATAAACATGCTTAGATAGTGAATTATATAGTAGCAAAAGATGATTTATGAATAAGTAAATCTTTAGATTGAATGCATAGAAGATATTTTTGTTTTTAAGCTAGGACTATGTTCAATCGATGCAATCTAATGAGTAAGTAAATACCCTCGAGTGATTCGAGTTGCTAACTCTTTGTTAGCAAGATATCGAATTTTTAGATTTTCTCCGCTGGACCCCTATTTTCAAGCGAAATCATACTTTTGAATTTTGATCTAGAACTTTGCTCAGATTAGACTAGCTTGTAGAAAAAATTTCAAAAGTTTTTCATTAAATCTTCCCGAGATATGAATTTTTGAACTGTCCATATTTTTATAATAATCATGACAAAATGCTTATGTGAGATTTAGTGAAAAGTCTCTGAAATTTTTTCTACAAGCTAATCTGATCGGTGCACTGATTTAAGACAAGTTTCAGGCCCATATTCAAAACCACGATTTCAGTGTAAAACTGGGGCCCAACAGGAAAAATTCATTAAAAATTCGATATCTCAGCAACAATGATTTATTACTTGGGAACCTCTTCTCATAAGTCTATTCCATATAGCGAAAGATTTTGGTGTTACTATTGGTTTGACATTTTGTGTTTATCGTTTAACTGTTTAATTTCCTTTTTTTGTTAACATAGTGATCTTTTCAACTAAGCGAAAACTTTTAATTTATTAAACATCAAGTAATAGAAAAGTGCACAATAAGAAATAGCTGTACGTTGCCTTTTTTTTCGGAGTAGCCAACCAATAGTTAAAACCTTGATCCGTCACTTACTCATGTACATAGAGGGTGCCAAATATTGGTGAAAAAAGTCTCGAACTTAGATCCGGTCGGGTCCAGATCCACAAAAATGTAAACCTACAGCTCGATAAATCAGTTCATCCTATTCATATTTCATCTCATAACTTTACAAGGATCAATCTCTATAGTTATTTAAAACTAGTAGATATTGTTTAAATACTTATTGTTGTATCTAGTCAATCATCGCAATTTAATAAGCCTAATGAAAAATGAATAGATGTCATTTCTCTTAGATTGATTTTATTTTTGTTTTTGCAGTTGATCAAATGTGTTGGGGGTTGTTATCATCTTGAACAATTTCGTACGATAGTCTAAACAAATAAATAGAAATAGAAATACTTAACAATTCTCGACGAAATTCAATGGTATATTTTTCGGATTATTTTTACATTCAGTATCAAATAACAGGAAAAAATGTGTATTTCTTTGTGAAGATAGAAATTGTAGAAGTAGATCGAAATTTTGCGTGCAGTTTGGAATTTCTACAAACGGCTTATTACGAGATTTGTCTCCGATCGAATAATGCTGTTGAGGGGTAATATCATGCACTCAACAATTCTGTATCAACCTTTGGTGTATGTGAACAATCAAAGAAAAAGAAAAAAAAAGAGTTTATGCATATTTTGATGCATTATTGAAAAGAATTGCACTGTCTGAGGAAATCAACAGTATTGAAGAATATTTAATATATGGTTGTTTTCAACTATTCTCTTGTATATAGTGTGTTAATTTGTCGTAGTTGAGTATGAAAAATATCGTTTGATATTAGAAGATTCTTTTTAAATGAAGATCTACTACTCACTAGTATTTGAATAATAATTCATTAGTGAGGTAATATGAGAATGGAAAGATTGTTTTTTTATTTTTTTTTCGTTTGTAAATAAAAAATCAAAAGCGAAAAATCTTTTTTACAAGTGAGAAACAATACTATGATGGATTAGAAAGTGTCTATTCCAATATTTGACAAATGACGAGAACAAATGTCGTATAATCCACTTGTTTTTATTATGAATTCATGCAATCCATATTGAAACAACATGCAGACGTAACAAATTTAGTAACTGTTAATCGTGTCTTGTGTTGTTTAAAGCTTATCAATATGAGCCAATAAGAAACAATTTCGTCTGCTTTTAATCTTTCACCTATGAGAACGACAATTGTTAATTGAATGAAACGTGCCTAATGTTGTCTTCATATGCGTCGATTGACATCAATAAATTGTCAATCCGTTTACTAGAATCAGCTCATTCAATATATTCACACATTTCAAGTGAACATCATCTTTCATTGAATACAATTCAAAGTGAACAAGAGCACATTGAAGATGGCTATTAGATATTCTATTCTATTTCGTAAGTTATTCTTTTAAGAATATTTCTCTCTATTGAAAAATCAATCATATAGTAACACTTATTCTATACACAATCAATGGAAGTTTAACAACATTTGACAATAAAACAAAGAAAGTTATGCTTTCATCAACACAAAATACAACATCAAAACCGAAAAAATTTCTTAAATGTAAATCAAATATTTTAATCTATTTATTTCAAACTTTTGTTTTCTTTTTTTGAAATAGATGCTAATGATGATAAATTATCCGGAATTCAATATATGTCTGAAGTTGGTTCACGTTGTGCCGGTAAAAAATACATTTAATATCAAGCTTAAAGTTATCTTCTTTTTTTTTCTTCAATTTATTCAAAAATTTAGAAGATGGATTTTATGCTGATCGTGATGATTGTCGTAAATTTCATGTTTGTTATGGTGGTACACAATCAGTTCGTTGGTGTAAAGATGGAATGCTTTGGGATGAAACTAAAATTGGTTGTAGTTTACAAAGTATTACACCATGTGTTGGTAGTCGAAAAAAATGGGGTTATGATGAAGGTATTAATTTATTAAATAATTTAAAATGAATCCTTTGTTAATTTAGTAACAACAACAATGTCAACAACAACAACAACAAATTCTCAATTGAATAAAGGTAATTATACATGTCGACCGGGTGCAACAGGATTTTTTGCTGATCCAAGTTCATGTTCAATATACCATTGGTGTGTTTTGGGAGTACTTCAATCAACACATCGTTGTAATGCGGGATTACATTTTTCACCAAGTTCTAATGGATGTTTATGGCCAAAAGATGCCGAATGTTAGAATATATATATATATATTAATTTATTTTGAATTAAATAATTTTTGTTAAGGTGAAGGACAAATTGCACCACCATATTCGCCAATTGAATGTACATCAGGTAGTTCAGGTTATTTTCCTGATCCTTACGATTGTTCGGTTTTTCATTATTGTGATGGTAATAAAAGAAAGGAAATTGTTTTTTTTCTTATAAATTTAATTAATTTAGGAGTGAAACCTCAAAGTGATTCATTACTTTGTTCATCTGGTCTTATTTGGAGTTCACGTAAGTTTTCTTTTTATTAATAATTATATATATAAGTTTATAGAAAATATCATTTAAAGGTTTGGAAAGTTGTGCTTGGCCTCATGAAGTAACTGAATGTAAGTATGTTTTTCTTACAAAAACTTCTTAATGAATAATTTCATAAGGTCAAAATTCATGTCCACCAAATTATTCAAGTCAAATGCGTTTTGCTGATCCAGTTGTTTGTTCACAATATATTCAATGTGTTGATGGTCATTTAGAACAGCGAACATGTTCAAATAAACTTTTATTTGATCGTATTACAAAAACATGTAAACCATATGAACAAGCTGAATGTCATGGTGCTAAACCTGAACTTCCATTAGTAACATCAACAACAACTATTGCACCAAGTAAGTGTAGTTTATTGAAAGAACTTATTTAATTATGTTTGATGATCACGGACTGGATATATGTGGGATATGTTCTATGAGATGATAATAAACGCAAAAACAAAATGAATCAGACATGTGGATAAATGATACTAGTTCTATCACTGATCTTGGATAAAATGAGTAATTATTTTTTACAAAGGAAGTTCTTCGACCAGGGCTCTGTATAGAATGAAACAGAAGAAGTAGTTTGATGGGATAAGCTGTCATGACTTGTCCCATGGAATGAGATATTGCTTAAAATCTCACGTTCTATGGGACATCATATTCGTCAAGTAGTTTTTAAAAAAATTGAAATTTTTTAATAGATTGATTCATTTGATTAATAATTATACAAAATATAATACTGTTGAGTGTAACCTAGAAATAGTTTCAGAAGTATTTTATTTTTCCTATGAAAACCTTGTCTTTATATGTAATGATACTAAACACAATGATCTATTTTTATGCGATATTTGATCATAGTTTAACAAATATCATAAAAATAAAATTCCGATAACAGCTGTTTTTTATGATATGTGACGATAAAATTAGATATTATTGACGTTGATGCGTACTTTCCTTCCACTCCTTTCTTTAGAAGGTTGTTATTCTCTTCTTTCACACCCACACCCACTCCTGTATCCGATGGATCAGATTGACATACAATAACAGACAACAATTAATCTTCAGAAAACATTTTATCAGCTGTTACTTAAGTCTAAATAAATTCATTGCTTCTAACTATTCGAATAGAATGAATTTCATCTTTTATTTATTTATTTATTTTACTGTGCTCTAATAATTGCATTGCATAAATCATTTACAAAGTAGAATAAAATTTTATGTTTACTAACTCAATTGAAATAGAAGAACGCCGTCTATACGATAAAAATAGTTATATTTACCCTCGTAATAAATGCTTGTGTAACCAGCTGATTGTCCCATGAGACGTAAATCTTTTGATAAACATCCCATGCGGATGAAATGGGATAATTTTCCTAAAATTGCAGTCCCATTTCATCTCACGCGGAGTTGTGTGTCCAACGGTTCAATCGTTTGTGAGTTGAGACTATTTGAATTATGCAAACCCAAATGAGATATGAATAGCTTAAAAAGAGTTGATTACTGAAGAGATACTACATTTTTACAGTATATTTTTAAATAAATGCCGTGATCATTCACGAAAAATTTCATTTTCAAATTTCAACTTGAAATTTTACATAGATGACAGACCTTAACCAGAGTCGTTTCAGATCTTTTGATTTGCTTCTATACTCAAAATAGAACATCAAATTTACTGGTTTATATGAGTAATGTAAAAGACACATTATTATTATAGTTGTGTCTTAAGATAGGAACAGCGACAAGATCTGAAATATTCACACAAAAAATCCTAATCTCGTTAAGGTCTGTCTCTATGTAAAGTTTCACATCGAAATTCGAAAATGAATTTTTTTGAGAATGTTTATGACTTTTATTTAAGACGTACCTTGAAAGTGCGATATCTCCGTAGCAATAGTTCAAAGACACGAACTCTCTTCAGTGTGTTCATAATTGATTTCGACTTACCCAATGTACATCGTTTGGAGTCAAAAGTGATTGAATAATTGTAAGACTTCATTCATTAGTTAATTGATGTTTAACTATTATTATATTGATCGGTATAATCTTTATAAAAAGCATTGAGAATAAACTTCATTGAAAAATTTCTTCATTATATTTTCGTAATTATTCAAGCGACAAATAGAGTGAGTCTTGTACTTTTTGCACTCTGAGAAAAGGAACAAAAATTCGTACATTACATTTTTGTACTTTATTTTCATTACGTTTGTACATTACGTGATTGAAGTTTTTTGGCTCATGGGGCACTCAGTATATTTTCTATGTAATTTAATTGACTGTACAATAATAAACAATTCAAAATAAAAGCGAAACTAATTTTGTTTATTATAAATGAAGATAATATAGATTTTGAATTATAATATAATCGAATTATTTAGCTACAACTGCGGATACTATATCAACTAATCCAGGTTCAGCAGAAATAATTAAAAGACAACGTTCAACTCGATTTATTTGTGTTGGTATGTAGGGAAAAAGTGTTGTTTTTTTTCGTTTTTATTCATGCTAATTGAATTTTCTTCCTAATAGCTGATGGTTATTTCGGTGACGTTAACGATTGTCGCATTTATCATGTATGTGTCGATGGACGTGATTATCGATCAATGTGTGCACCAGGTCTTGCATGGGAGTCTTTATTACGTTTATGTATGTCAGCTCATCTTGTTGGTTGTCAAAGTTCAAAATCATTTGAGCCACTTTCAGGTATAGAACATTTTTATTAAAAGAGTTTGTTTCGTACATCAAGGATATTTATATAAAAGGATCGTCAAATAAAAAATGGCTTCAATTATATACCCGCCCTTTTATTAAAACATCGACAACGACAACAACCACGACAACAACAACATCAACAACACCATCATTACCATTTGGATTACCGTCGATGTTTACATGTGCTGGCCGTCCAAATGGTTACTATCCAGATCCAGTACATTGTCATAAATTTCATTATTGTGCAACAGGTATTAAAGATAAAAATGTTTACCTTTTATTTTATCAAGAATTTTATTTTTAGGTTGGCATAGTGTAATGGAATGCGATAACGGTTTGGCATACTCAACTCGAGATAATGATTGTGTACCTGTTGACTTTGCTGATTGTGGAAAGAATAGGTTAATGAGAAAAAGATATTAGCAAAATACAGAAAACATTGACTATGACATATACTATCTCTTTATATAAACAATGATTGTTCTATTATCTTTTTGTTTTTTTTTTCTTCAAATATACCTTTGCATGTTTTATTCATTTTGTTTTGAAAATTAAACATTTTAGTCAATAAAAGAAAATTCCAAATATTAAAGAATTTGGTGTTTCCTACTCTATGGATAATTAAGTATTCTATGGATTTTTTGCAACTTTTTTCGTTTTACTAATTACGGATTGACTCAACCTAATAAGACTCATAATTTCTCACAAAGTCATTTTCTTTTGAGACACACCCATATTCAAAATTAGAAAATACCAATCCTTAAGACATTACTCATTTATTGATCATTATTGTCTGTTTTTTTTTCTTATATTCTCGCTAGGAAGAATCTAACATTTACAGTCTATACTTCTTCGCCGATATGACGTCGAACGACAATAGAAAACAAGAGGAAAAAAAGAAAAATCATCGAGAAGAAACGTTGTAAAGGATAGAGTAAAAGAAAAAAAGAAGAAGGAAAAAAAAGAAAATTATGCTTTTTATGATTCGTCGATAGAGACTACTTGCTCTGTATAAAAACGCGCGAGGCGACAGACAACTTCTACTCAACATACACACGCTCGAACATATTTATTCAACAACATACAACTGCATCTATCCATCTCCTGTGCAACAATAAGAGAACAGAAAAAAAAATAAACAAAAAAATTAATTTTGTTCGGTGAAACGGTTTTTCGTCTGTTTAATCGTTCTGTTCCTTCTGTCTACACGAAGCAAACAAAAAAAATCGTCCGTATTTACTTTCATCAATCGGTGGCACGTTTCTATTTAACAATTTGAATTTACTATTCCTATTAGAAATTCTCATAATCCTAATAGAACTTCTATTACGTATATACACGAACATCTCGTGTTTTTTATATATTGAGATAATTGCTAATGCATTAAACTCTTAATAATTATATCAAATTATTTAAAATTATGTCTTCACTGGCTACAATAATTAAGGATGATTCTTTGGCCTCTACATTACGTATTGGATTTTTCAGTCTTGCTGCTTGTTCTGTGGTTGGTTTAGCAGCTTATGTTGGCTATAAAGCAGCTGGACCCAATCAGACTTATGCTCTTCATAATCGCCACCCGGAATCAAATGATCAGGTAAAAATTTTTTAAAATTTAATATTATTTTATTCTATTGTAATGAAAATAATGTAGTCACAATACCCCCATGTTTTTTGTTGTGAAAAAGCAGCATGAAAAAACTGCATGATGCAATAAAACGTCATCTTGCCTAAGAAAGAGAAAAAGCAATAGTTAACTACGAAGAAAATATCATTTGTCCTACGCAATATGTTATACGACACACCCCCGTTCAGAACGACAAAATCAGACTTGTGAATAATATATCTATATATATGAAAAACCTGACGAGGAAAAAATCGGAGAAAAGGAAATGCTCGAGAATGACGATAAGATCTAATAGAAATCTGGTTACTCTCTTGCAAAATATGTTTATTTACACCATAACCAATTTCTCTTAGGAGAATTATGTACAAACAAAGAAGAATTGTTTTTTTTCCTTCTGTCATGAAAGAAAAGAAAAAAATTCCGATTAATATTGATAACTACTAATAATGGTTGAGATCAAATTTCTATGAAAAAAGAGAAAAAAACTGAAACAACAATGTAATCATAGAAACTTTTTAAACAAAAAAGGCTATTACAAAATAATTGATAATCATAAAAGCCAAAATTAGTTTCGTAGTTTCTTTTTTTTTTGCATTCAATGACTTCAAGAATAAATAACAGCTGTAAGAGTGCCAAGTAGACGCTGTTATGGAAACATATTTTAAATTTTTTTTAGCTTTTTTCTATAAAAAAAATCTGCACGAAAGAAAATTAAAACAAGGTACACGACCTAGAAAGCGTATATCCATTGATGACAAAAAAGAAGTACTAATCACCATTTTGTTTTTTATAAATCTATTACACCATTACAGACGTGACGCTTTTCGTTTAACCTTATTATCGACCGTCATAGGGTAATGATAGTATTTCTTATTGCTTGATGTTGTTTAATAGATGTCGCTATGTTTCATTAATATGTATCTTATTGCCTAGATTGAAAAAGTACTTGAATCATTACGTCTTGATGATGATAAACTTCGTCAAATAATGCAATTACTTGAACAAGAAATGGATGCAGGACTTTCCCCAGCAACTCATAAAAGTGCGGATGTTAAAATGTTTCCTACTTATGTTCGAAATATTGCTGACGGTACAGAAACAGGACAAGTTCTTGCATTGGACTTAGGTGGAACCAATTTTCGTGTTTTACTTGTCACTTTATTACCACAATCGCGAGTTGATTTAACCTCAAAAATATTCGTTATACCACAATCAATTATGCTTGGTCCTGGTGTTAATGTAAGTGTTCATAGATTTACAAGAAAGATACTGAACTGAATAGTTTTAGCTTTTTCGTCATCTTGCTGATTGTCTTTTGGATTTTATGAGAAAAGAAAATCTTGTTAAATCAGGTATTCGTTATCCATTAGGTAAATTTTAACTTTAAATTATTTTTGATCATTAATTAAATGTCTTTTGTTTTGCTTTTCTTTTCCTATAGGATTTACATTTTCATTTCCGTGTAAGCAAGAAGGTCTTGCATCAGCACGATTAACATCTTGGACAAAAGGTTTTACATGTTCCGGTGTGGTCAATGAAGATGTTGTTAAAATGTTACAGACAGCAATCGACGAAAAAGTAATAATTGAAAAACAAAAAAACAAAGAAATTTTTTTTCTCCGAATGTTTTGTTCTTTCTTTTAGAATATTAATGTCCAATGTGTCGCTCTTGTTAATGACACGGTTGGCACCCTAATGGCATGCGCATACAAAGATCCCAATACAGCAATCGGTCTTATTTTAGGTACCGGCACAAATGCATGTTATATGGAAAAATTAGATCGTGTCGGTACGTGGGATGGAGATTATAATGAACCAAAACAAGTCATTATTAATATGGAATGGGGAGCGTTCGGAAACAATAATCGTTTAAATCATATTCGAACAAAATATGATGAAGAAGTTGATTTATCATCAGTCAATCCTAGCAAACAAATGTAAAATGAAAAACAAAAAGAAATCTATTGTTAAAATTCATTATTATTATTTTTTTAGATTTGAAAAAATGGTTAGTGGAATGTATATGGGTGAGATTGTTCGTTTAATTATACTTGATTTAATGCAACAAGATTTATTATTTATTGGTCAGCGTGATGGTTATGGTGATTATCGTACACCATTATTTACACGAGGTGGTTTTTATACGAAATTTGTTAGTACTGTCGAAACCGATGAAGGAATTGCATTTGCAAATACACGACGTGTTCTTGAAGATATGGGTATTAGAAATCCAACATTCGATGATTGTGCTATTATACAACATATTTGCAAAAATGTATCCAAACGAGCAGCTAAGCTAGCTGGCGCATGTAAGTATCTTTTCGAAAACAATCAAATTTATATTACTTTGAATCAACAATCAATTAAAGAAAATTCTGAATCGAATTCAAACCAGAGCTGCCACCAGGCTGGCCTGCCAGGCCATCGGAAAATTGGAAATTCAAATCTGAGTTGATCTGTTTACATTATATTGAAGTAGAATAGAAGACTAGCTCAGACTAGCATAATTGGCCCAATTCATCTTTTCGTTGTGTGAGAAACCTTTGCATCTATCATCAAATTTCTGTAAAAACCCATATTATAAAATATATTTCTGACACAAAGAAAGGATGAATTGGGTCAATAATACTGATCTGAGCTAGTTTCCTACTCTACTTCAATATAATGTAAGCGGATCAACTCAGATATGATTTTCATATTTTCCGATGGCCTGGCAGGCCGGCCTGGTGGCAGCTCTGATTCAAACATAATATTCTTTACCAAGCACACACGCCTTGACTTTAAGATATAATCAATACTCATAAGACACTCGCATAGTTGAGGAAGTAAGAGTACGCACTTATACTCGGAATGCTATACTCGAACGTCAGGGGTCATACTCGTATTAATGCTTGTAGGCTGAGCGATCGGTACTCGTATTCAAGATATCATACTTCTACGCATACTAACGATCAGTACTTGTACACAAGAAAACAAGTAGTTGCTCAGCTCTGGAAATTCCTATCTAGCTCTACGACCCATTGCTCCTTATGTCAGTTAATGAAAATGTTAATTTCAAATGGATGAAATTCGATCTTTTTTTATATAGACTCAAACTAGGAATTTTGGCATCTAATTCTGTGGACGTGTCGGACGAGAACTCGACGGGAATTTAGGAAAGATTTGATGATTCTGTGCAGTAGTTGGCTACGGTCAGCTCTGTTCAAACCAGAGAAATTTGCCTATCGGATATACTTGTCAAACTTTTCCATTTAAGTTTCTACTATATTTAACAGTTTTTTTCAATCGAGCCTATTGTACATCATTTACCCGGAAATTTCACACCCATTTTTAATCAAAAGATTTTACTGAAAAGTTTTTATTTATCTTCAAACTTGACCTATCGTATATTCAATTTAGGCCTCGCTGTAATAATCAATCGAATAAATAAACCAAATGTAACAGTTGGTGTGGATGGTTCACTCTATCGTTATCATCCAAGATTTAAACGAAATATGGAAAAATGTATGAAAAATCTCGTCAATAAAAATATCAAAGTAAGTTAAATTGCTATCTTTCATTGGCAGTAGGTCAATCGATAAGAGAATATGTATATATAAGTTTTTTGCTAATATCACTGAAAAGTTTTCAAAAAAACGAAAACGAATTTCAGTTCTTTCTACAAGAATCAAATGATGGTTCGGGTATTGGCGCGGCTTTGGCAGCAGCAACAACAATTTCAGCCGCTAAAGAACAAAAGTAATCTGATAGTAAAAGAATGAAGCTTTGCAACAGTTAATGATAATAAAATTTACACTGAAAAATAAACACCAGCAACAAAACTGCTATTGTTGAGATCAGTATTCATGCTCATTTCGCACAAGCTTGACATCGTATTTTTCGATGATTTTTTTTTGCGCTTAATCATTTTATATATAGATTAATTTCTGTATTTGTATAATTAAAATTTTTCTTTTTTTCTTAGTTTAAATTAACATTATCTGATGATGGTAGTGGTAAAGGAGCAGCTTTGATTGCAATTGTTGCTGATCGTTTTCAAAAAAGTCAATTAAAATCGATACCAAGCTTTGATGACAATGATGATGAAGAAGTTCATACTCCGATACAACCACCTCTATCTAGCCCAATAACATTCAATACTCAATCTGCCACTAATACACACATCAGAACGCTACCTTAATTCTACTTTCTTCTTTTTTTATGTGGTAATCCATCCCAAGTTTCCCTTTTGTATCTAACAAACGTAGAACGTCACGCGTTAATATGCGCAAAATTTTTCTCTTTTTTTTTTTTTTTTTGTGTACTGGTATTTGTCGTATTATGATTATCTTGATGTTTCATATTGTATTCATGTTTTTGTGAGTGGTTAAAAAAAACGCACAAGTTTGTTCCTCTATCATTAGTATTCTCGCTAAGCCTCAATGTAGTTGTTCATATCGATCTGCTTTTTTTTTGAATAATAATCCTTTCTTTTTTTGCAAATGAAATTTATCTAATGGAAATTTCGTTTTCTTATTTTGGATGCATTTCAATTTGTTTGTTTGTGTGTAGTCAATATGCACTCTTAGGCTCAATTTTCATGAAGTATTACATCGAATTTTTTCCCTGTGTTGTAAATGAAAGTTAAAAATATGAATATTCTTAGTTTTCAATAAAAAAATAATTTCAATTAACAATAAAAGCATAAAAACTTAAAGATCTTATTTTAATGCAAGATTTAAATGAATTTCCTTTTCTTGTTTTTTTTTGTTTTTGTGAAACTTTTGTTGATTCCTAAGTCGATTTGTTGGGGGAGTATATTCTAATGCCTTGAGGTATTCGAAGTAATTCAATGCAAACTTGTCTTTTGATATAAGGAGAAAACGAAGCACAAAGAAGATTAATTCTATTAAGTTAAAATAAACATATCCTTGATTCTAATGAATAAAACAGTAATGTCATATTTTAGATAAAAAATTAATGCGATAACTAGCTGATTAAAGTACTCGAATAAATAATAATATATTAGATTGTTCTATTTTCTGTTTCAATAAGATTATCAAATCAAAATTTCACAATTACTTAATCCTTGTATAAATTTTTAAAACTACATGATAACTTGAAAGAAAAATTCTCGACATTGTTATGATTTTGTCAAGGATAAGTTATTGTCTAAAAATAGATATAGATAATACTATATACAAAATCAGATATGTTTCTAACAATTACATTTCATAACTCTTCTGACAGAATAGACAAAACAAGAAGAAAACTATTCAATAAAGTAATCATAATACGGTCTAACTCATCTGAAGCAAATAAATATATCATATTTTATAATTTTGTCGGCATTGATCACGATGATATTTAACTCATCATGTATGGTAAAAATCTACGTAAATACTTTCTGAAATAAATTTTTTTTATTCCTTTTTTTTTTTTACTATTCTGTGAAGATGACGATCAACTTGGTTTTTTTTTCTTTTGTCGTCATTTGTGTGATGTGGGGCATTTAGCTAGATTTTTTTTTCTTTTGCTTGCCTTTCTCTGTTCTGACAAAGCGAAAGCCTACGCCCTACATAACCATATCGGGACACTTTTTTTTTTGGGAGAAGTAAGCGTAATTAAACAGAAAGGAGAAAAGAAAATGACGACTATTCTCTCTTTTTCTCTCGTTTTTGCGAGCTATGTCAAGTCGAAGCGAATAACAAATTGTGTTGGATGTCGTCAACATATACACCGTGAAAGAAAGAAAAAAAAGAGAACAGACACACATACAACACACAATCTTACTAAGAGAATAAAAAGCCGAGAGAGAAAGATAGAAACCTTTACGAGTAAGCGCAAGCATGTTCACTGCTGTTCGCCATCATACATGAGAATATATGTACAAAAAAAAAAGAAAAAGACGAAAGAAAAAAAATAGAAGAAGAGTGAGTGAAAGAGGTTGATGACTTACGTCAATGAGTTTTATCTATTTACTATTTACTGTCGGTATTGATGACGTTTCACTTTATTATCGATTGCAATATTTTCGTCCAGTTTTTTTTTCTTTTCATATGTTATTTATTATCATATACATAAACTGAGCTTTTTTTAGCAACGTTACTCGTTTTTTTTTCTACGCAGATATCATTGATTTTTTTTTTATTTCTATTAAAAGGAAAAAAGACGCGATCAATTATTATTTTAGATGGCTGAGCAATGTTTATCTAGCTCAACTGATATTCCGTCCGCATTACATGTAAATAAAGAATCGAATTCACTGGATACTGCTGATGTCAATTATCTTATTCGTCGTTCACTATCAAACAAGCTTAATATTAGTGCTATGACATCAGCACCATCAACAAATACAACACTGTCATCAGCATCATCAACAGGCTCACTAACAATTTATTGTATTGAGACAGGTTCTATTGCACAATCAATTCGTCGTCGACAGTCACTAACTAATACAACAATACTATCTAATAATATTGAGATTACTACTACTACTGCTATTGATGAAGGTCGTCTACTCAACGATAATGATAAACCACAAGAACAACTGACAGATGTTGAAAAGACTGCTACTGTAAGTGACGGTGATAATGAATCGTTTGATGATGATGATGATGATGAAACGATCATTGATGATTCACTCTATCCACAATCATTTCCAACACCACCAAATTATGTTAGTTCACCTTGTCCAATTTGTTTGGAACCAGCAGTATTACAAGTATCTCCATGTTGTTATTTCCTTTGTTGTAATAGTTGTTGGCGTGCACATATATCATCGACAATAAATGATGGTCGAATTAAAATCCCATGTGTAGCTAATGAATGTAATAAATATTTAACAAGGGAATCAATAGTAAATTTTGTTCGATATGATCCTCCATTGCATGAACGTTATCTTAAATTATATTTAACTTTTAATCAAAATCCACGTGCTAAGACATGTAAGAAAAATAAAAGTTTGTTTTTCATTATGATATCTTTTTCTAGGTCCTCGTTGTTGTCATCTCTATTCTTTGGATACAATAAAATCTATTCCATTAGAAAAAACTAAAAAATGGAAAAAAGATAATAATAAAAAAATTCCAAAACAAGTTCAATGTTCTGAATGTTCACTTGTTTGGTGTTTTCATTGTTCAGCACCTTGGCATGAAAATATGACATGTAAACAATTTATTAAAGGTGATAAACTTCTTTTAAAATGGATTAATCAAAAGAATGAAGAACAATGGAATGCAAGAAAATGTCCAAAATGTTCTTCACTTATACAACGTGCTGGAGGCATGTCTTAGTTCTTTTTTTTTTTTGTTCATCATGTTTATTTAATTATATAATATTTGTTTTTAAATAGGCTGTCCTCATATGACATGCCAATCATGTTCATGTGAATTTTGTTATTTATGTGGCCGACGTTATTATCAGATTCCGCTTATTGGACAACATAGTAACAGATTGAGGTTTTAGGCTTGTTTTTGTTTAATATAGAATTTAAATTTGTGTTTTTTTTTGTTTTCTTAAAAGTATGTTTGGATGTCCATATAATTTTTATCCTGAAAAACCATGGCTTCGTCGTACAATACGTGGTATGATTGCAACCGGTGTTGTTGTTGCTTCACCAATAATCGTAGCTGGTGTTGTAACTGCAGCTGTAACTGTTTTACCACCATTTGGAATCTATAAACTTGTTCGACATACACGTGCTCGTCGTCGTGCACATGTAGCAGCAAATTTTCCTATTGGTGAACCATTTTTAATTGAACCTGATCTTGATGATCCACTATTATTACCAGCACGTGGAACATTTACATTTGATTTACATGGTGATCCAACAGCTGATATGATGCGTGTTTTAAGACAACATATTGGAGAATTATCTATTACACAATTATTAGATGATGATGATACAGGAATAAGTGATAATGAAATTAATAAAGATTTTCCATTATCAATATTTGCTGATATGGACATTGAATATTTAATATCGGATGATAATGATGAATTAAATAATTCTCCATTAGATTTTCGTACATGTCCCACGACACCAGCTTCAGCTATTCGAAAAGGTCTTAGTCGAAGTTTAAATAATTTAACAGTGACTTATAATTCATCTATAAATCGTCATCATTCAATGAATAAAGAACATTAATATCTTACTGCATTTGTGAAGAGTGTATATAAGTTGGTTTTTCTTGAGTGCGCATGTTTATATATATATGTATGCCCGGTGTGCTTTTCTTTTCCTTCTTTTTTACTCAGTGACAGCACAGTTGCTTATGATATTTGTTTATGTTGTGTGCGCATTCATTTGTTTTCCTATTTCTGTACCACTCATTGCACATATAGATAAATAAAAACAAAATTATACAAAAACAAACACAGAAAAAGAAAGATGTTTGAAATTTTTGATTATAACAGAAATAAAAGTTATTGATGTTAATATGATGATGTTTCAAATAGATTTATCGATTATTAACGTAACAGTTTGACCGTGAGAATATAAAGATAATAATAGCTGATGTACATATGTGATAGAAAATTATATATTCAGATATATTTTTTCTATCCTTTTGTTATGATAATTACTCATAAATCCTTTTAGTTAATTAATAATGTCTTGTATCCTAATTATGACTACAATATTTTGTTTTACAGAAATTATCTTTACCAAGAGCAAGTTTTATAAGATATATACCAGATGTTTCTGTCTCAATATTGTAACATATCAGTTATTTGAAAAAAGAATACTTTCATTTCGAAATAAAATATACTGCTTATCTATTACAGTCGTCGACCTATATGAAAGAAATAATCCAAAGTACAAACAAAATGAATCTATTATTATGAAACATACTTATAAATTTAAAGTTCACAGGCTTTTACGTAATATAGTTTATGTTCAACAATCGTCCATTTTTATTGAACAAAAACTGAAGATTGCAATGCTAAATTCATATTGACTTAATATGAATATATTAGCGAAATTGATAGTTTCATATAAGAAATCAATGAATATTTAATTGCTAAAACAAATACGATTTTATTATAAAAATACTATTGAAGTAAAATATCCGAGTCGTATACTGAATATCAAATGCGTTATATGATAAGGTATGATATGAATGGAGATATACTCGTCTCACTACTTATGAGTGCATTTTGTGATACCAGCAGATATCGTTCATAAATAATTTACAATAG